TTATACATCTATACACAGTTTAATTGAAAATTATTTGTTTTGAAATAATCACAAATCCATTGGCCAACAAGTTAAGAGCGTTCCTAAAACTTTCATATTTTCCTCACAGTCTCTTTTGCTTAAATGAGTCTGAATAAGAAAATTGTCTTGTTTACAATACATAATATGTACTCAAAATAAAGTGCACATGAGATTTCGTTCCGCATATACAATCTATGATACAGTCTGTGGTTCCGGAGTCAAACGAGATAAACGGCTGAACTTCGAAGACCAATTTTACATCAGAAGCAATGTTACTTTACTCCAAGCAATTTGCATTATTTGACCCCTTCCCTACATGCATACCCTCCCCTTCATTACATGTATACATGTAATGTAACCACATTACATGTATTTTGGTTGGACAAGCATGTGTCAAGATTCCAAGCTTGAATTCACATTTCATGTATCGAGGCATGTTTTATCCCAAAATTTATAATGAAAACGCTTATTTTTTGTATATTAAAGGGAAAATACAACATTTGCAAACATCATAAAATAAAACTACCAAATCATTTTGAAATACCTTGCTGGACTATTGGTGAATGACAGTGTAAAGCATCCTGTAAAATCATAGCACCTGGTATACTGTCATTTTCAAGTAAAGTGGTATTTTTGTATCAATTTCCAACGCTGGTCGGCCGATCAGCGTTGGAAAAAAATGGCTTTTTTTCAAATACTGGCCCAAATTGACCATCGCACTTGTTTGCAATCGATTACACACCTATGAACGGGTACAAGCCAGCTAGACTGGTTCCCTGACCTTACAATTCCCCAGGGAACCAGACAACAGGAAAATGATTGGTTTTATTTTGGTTTTTATAGCATTTTCGAACCAATAACCTCAAAAAAGTCAGTGTAACTATATTTGCTATATATTTCCAACCCCCCAATTCCATCCATTTCTGAAAATTACAGCAAAAGCAAATGATGTATATTCCCTTTAAACACCCCGTCCAGCTTGCTGTCATTTAGAAGAAATCAAGACATGTAGGTGATTTCCAAAGATCAGTCGATTGGAAATAAAGAGTTATATGACGTACAACAGCATGACGCTTCACCTTATACCTAAATGTTGTAAATTTGTTTTAGTATTGATCCATGTACATTATTATACACCATTACATAATTCATTACATTTTGCTTTGTATAATAAGTTTTCACCACATTGTAACATTTTATAGTGTGGAAATTGCAACATTGAAATATGTGTTTCTACTACTTGTATACCTATATTAATATAGACGGAATTAAAAAGGTTGTCCATGAAACTTCAACGGGTTAGGTTTTCAACACTGTTCTTTAGATTGGAATGGTGTTATTTGTTTGAAACGAACAAAATGGATGAAATTTAAAAAGCGCACGTCGTATCCAGCAGCCGAGCCATTTATATTACCAGCAATATAGCATGAACTTTGACCTTTGTTGAAATGACGTCACTTTATATCGAGCCTAAAGCTGTAGTGCATCATCCGATGAAGCAACATACAGGATGTTGTCGACGAATACTGTAGTGCAGTTATCGTCGTTGTAACCCCCGTTGATGTTTCTATCGCCCAGACGTTGCCCAAGCGGGCCACCGGCTTGGAGCTGCCCCACTAATTCGGAGTAGTCTCCCACGGTACTCCGATTGTGCAGGTAAGCCGCTTTCTGAACTGAAAACGAAAGATGGGAAAATTGGGCCTTGTGAACAACGGCTATTTGCAAGCAGCTTGTTCCAGGCAGTGCACAAGAAGAAAACGATAGGAAAATTTGAGTTCCGTGTAATTTTCAAAGGCCTTTAGCTTGCCATAAACTCTTGGGATATACTCTGATCTTCCCGAGGGTTCCTTTCGTTTCCTGCGCATTTTGATTGCCGTCCGCTATGTGTGAAATTCGCACCAAATTTTATCTTTCAGGTTTTGGTTGAGAAACTGGCCATCTTGATAAATTACAGAATGGGTCCGTTTTTTAAATGCATTTACTGCAAATATGAGTTGCCCACACAATTCTTTTTTGCCATTACTCAAAAGCTTAAACAGTGAAGACCCATAGGTATACCACAATTATAATTGGACTTAGCGAGTTGGCTTACCTACAAATACAACTGTATAAAATATTATGTAATACTCACCATTTTGTTTCACTTTGCCATCATGAGAAGGTGTTGTCATCTTCTGCTCAGTGGCATACGAGTAGACATCCGATGCACCGGTATCATCATCTGATGACACGTCAGGATCCAGTACTGCATATACCGGTGGCGGCGGAGGCTGCTCTGAGACGACCGTTGTCACAGCGTAGGCGCCTTCGGGCTCGGGCGGTGGTAGGGGTGCTCGATCGGTTGGCCCCGCGTCTCTGACTTTATGCCCGCTAGCTCTGTGGCTCGTAGGTTGGTTATAGTAGTTGTGATTGTCGTAGATGTAAGCTGCCTGCCCGCTAATCTCATCACTTGGTCTAGTGGGAGTGGATAGCTGGAGGGTTGTGTCTCTGTTCTCCCAGCTTCTTGACTTCCTCCTTGACAACACGAGGCATATTATGATGACAAGGAGAATGATGATCACACCACCCACAGCTGACGATACTGCAATTATTACTGTACTAAATTGGGAAGGGTTTGAATTAGTTGGACTTGAATCAGTAAAGTGGAGAGTCGGCGTAGAAGAATCTGTGTTGGACAAGTCATGTGTTGCCGATACTGATGAGGGATCGGTGGAGATGGTGGTTGGTCCGATATCGACAGAGCAGTTTCTTTCGATTCCAGGGAAGCCCTCGCTTGTCATGTGACAAACGAACCCAGTGTAGGTCCAGGATTGGTTTAAATGCAGTTTGTTTTCGACTTGAACGCCTGCAAGGTATGTGGTCCCATTGAGGGTTAAGTTGGTTGAATTGACCGAAGTTGTCCATCGAAGGGAAACATTTGGTCGGGCGAACTCAGACGAGCATGACAGGATGGAAGGGGATGCGGGTGTTCCGGGGACGTATGAAGACACGAAACACTTTGGGTGGGTAGAATTTGGAAAATAATTTATGGCCACGAGTATATCTGCAGTATGTACGTTTGAACTTGGGCGTATGCCATTGAAAATAACACATCGGAACACAGTGTCGTCTACAAGCTGACTTTTACTGACTGTAAGCGTCAACGTAGCAATGTTAGACGTGCCTCTTTCGTATAGCACTGTTCCACGATTGTCAGTAGTGTTACCAACAATACACGGCAGGTTTTCCAAACCACAACCGTTTGAAACATCAATTTCACCGTAGATTGTTAATAAACCCAGATCATGCATTCGCTCCCATCGCACCCTCTTGATATCATCACCAGCTTCAAGTGTGATGTCACATGACAACTGCAGTGGTTCCCCTCTCCGAACAGTCACCGTGCCGGGAGCAGTGACTCTCACAGAAGTTGTGACAGTTGCTGATGTAATGAGTAACAGGTTGATAATTACTTCTCTGGCCATCTTAACCTCTTCCAGGACACGGAACGAGAATATGTTCGTTTAACGTACTTCACTGTCGACTACATGCATACAACACAAATGACTGCTTGCTCTTTTCCCATTACCAGTAACGTGAACGTGTTTTTATAAAGTTCACTTCCTTGTTCCATGGTTGTATTATATTTCACATTAAATAAATACTGATACTTTTCATGCATGCACTTCGGTACGGATTCGAAATTTGATTAATGGCGTAAAGTTGTTTGGACGAACGGGAGCGGGGGGGGGGGGGGGGGAGGGTGCTTTTGGGGCGGGGTTAAGGGTTGAACACCTCCCACACGATGGTGCTGTTCATGTTAGAAGCACGAGTGCTTATAATTGACTGTATGTATACAGCAGGCGTTAAACGTCCACTTAGTTACGGGGAAAAACACAAAAACAAAAACAAAAACAAAAATTCAACAGTGGCTTGGATTCTGTGTTTCGTTTCTTTCCCTTTTAAACTCCTTGGATAATATGTTAAATACAAGACTAAACTCAAAATCTACGTTTCAATGTCGCAGTCATTGAAACATCAAGGGCGCAAAATCATTTGATCTACAACACATGATGCCAGTAAATATTCCACATCACCGAGTGTCTATATGACAGTTACTGTACTTGATGACTCAATCAACTGCTCAAAAAAAACATCAGTACATTTCGGCTTAATTGATTGACAGGCCATAGATAATTGAGAGGTTGACGACGCGCTCAGTCGTCTTAAATTATTGTTTGGAAAAGAGTGATTTGTTTTTACAAGTATGTCTGCTCACCGTTAAATATACTACTGTTTTGTTTCAACCTCCAAATATGATCTATATACAAACACTTATTTTGTTTTATACAGCTATATACAGCGAAACCTAGTGCTAAATCACCAGTCACGACAATCATGTGGTAAATCCATTAGACAGCCAGTCCAGATCAAAAGCATTTTTACCAACACACTTTCGGTATAGGCCCCTTACATTCTGAAACTGATGACACGAATGTGGTTTGTCGAAATCACAGTGTTTTTAAACATCATCATAGCCCAACTCATTAACCTAATGAACAGAGAATCTTAGAACACATTCTATATATACATATCACGTGGTACAGTGTATAGTGGTGGCCTCACTGTATTTCAGTGTCATTAGTTTCTTATAGAATAGAGCATGTAAATGGTAAATTAAAATAATGATAATACTTTATTCAGGCAAACTTACATATAATAATTCAAAGTAAATACAATCAGATAAAAAAATACTGAAGAAAACAACTACAAGATATATAGAAAACTAAAAGCGCAACAACAAGCAAGCAAACAGGACAAGAAAAGACGGTTAAGGGCCTAGGAGAAAGCTAAAAGTGTAATATACCAAAAATGGCGTGTCACTCAGAGGACGAATCCGGGGGAGGGGGGCTTATCATTTATTGTATTTTTTTAGTGATGTTGGAATTCAGGCAGGCACTGCGTAAACCACCATCTTTTCTCAAAATAATTGGTTAAAGTGGTCAGAAGTTGCCTCGGATCGCACTACAGAGAATCTAGAATCCAACGTTTTTTTCGGGGCCCTTAAGCGCTCCCCTTACCCCACGCCGTCATTTTTTTGCCCCAATTTTTGGGGGACTAAATTGTTCTTTTGCCCCCATCCCCAAAATAGTGTTCTGGATCAGCCCTTATGTCGCTCCAAGAAGTGAATAAAAACCAAACAGTAAAAGAATACGAAAAGAACGCAAGCCGATGTCACGACATTCCACTGTTCACAGGCAGTTTTTAATTAAATGTGAAGTTAGGACTGATCAGGCACTGACATCGTCTTTTCAGTGGGGAGCTTTCTTTTGTGTCAGAATTTCTCGGGTCACGAGGGTCCGGTAAATGTAGAACTCACTGTCCGTTGGGATGTTCATAGTCACACGGTGCTGCATTGCCGACTGTGAAACACACAAAAAAAGAACCATTTGTTGAAGCTTCTGTGATTCATTTATTGTAAAAGAACATTTAGAATAATGCGACGGAAGATGTTTCAAAATGTACCCACGATGACTCCGACTTTTTAAGAAAGACAATTCACGCATTAGCCCAATTCCAGTGTCCATTTAATCGCTACACTTTTTTTTATCTGTAACATCAACTTACTCGTCACTTGCATTGATTTGTGATGCCTTTATTGCACTTCTGCCATTCGGTTGATGTACCTAATTGTAGTTTCAAGCGAAACGAATTGTTGTTAAGACAAGAGAAAGGGAACCAGTCATTACCTTCTTCATAAGCTGAGAGTGGCATGTAGTCTGTATTGGATGTAGTCTGGTTCCCGTTGTTACCCTCCACGATGTACTGTGTATATCCATCCTCCGTATACTGGGGCCGCAGTCGATCGACCGTGGGGCCGGTCACCGGGGTATTGTTTTGCAGTCTCTGGTCTGGCTCCCGTGGGTGCAGCTCTGCTACAGTACATCCAATTCTGGTTTCGTAGGAGTGGTGTGAAGAATTGGTACTGGGTAGAGTTTGCAGGGAGATGTTCTGAGAGGTAGGCTGCTCTGAGCTGACCGTTGTCACAGCGTAGGTGCCCTCGGGCGCCGGAAGTGCCTGATCGGTTGGTCCTACGTCTCTGACACTACCTTGTATGGCGGGAGTGGATAGCCGACGGTGTGTCCCTCTCTCTTCCCACCTTCTTGCCTTCCTCCTTGACGACACAAGGCATATTATGATGACAAGGAGAATGATGATCACACCACCCGCAGCTGAAGACACTGCAATGATTATTGTAATCAATTTGGATTGGTTTGAATTAGTTGGACTTGAGTCAGTAATGCGGAGAGTTGACGAGGAAGAATCTGTGGTAGTTGTAGGTAAGTCATGTGTTGCCGATACTGATGAGGGATCGGTGGAGATGGTGGTTGGTCCGATATCGACGGAGCAGTTTCTTTCGATTCCAGGGAAGGCCTCACTTGTCATGTGACAAACGTACGAAGTATAGGTCCAGGATTGGTTTAAATGCAGTTTGTTTTCGATTTGACTGTCTGCAACTTCTGTGGTCCAAACGAAGGTCATGTCTGTTGAATTGACCAAGGTTGTCCATGAAAGGGAAACATTTGGTCGAGCAAACTGAGACGAGCATGACAGAATGGAAGATGACGATGCGGATGTCTTGGATATGAAACACTTCGGGTAGGTTGCATTTGGAAAATAATTAATGTTCACCTGTATATTTGCAGCGTGTGAATAATGCATTTCACTAATAACACATCGGAACACAGTGTCGTCTACAAGCAGACTGTTACTGATTGTAAGCTTGAACGTTGCATTGTTAGACGCGCCTCTTTCGTATCGCACTGTTCCACGATTGTCAGTAGTGTTCCCAACATTACACAGCACGTTTTCGAAGCCACAGTTGTCTAAAACGTCAATTTCACCGTAGATTTTAAAATCTGACCCCTTCCCTTGCTCCCATCGCACCTCCTTGATATCATCATGAGCTTCAAGTGTGATGTCACATGACAACTGCAATGGTTCCCCTCTCCGAGCAGTCACCGTGCCCGGAGCAGTGACTCTCACAGAAGTTGTGACAGTTGCTGCTGTAATGAGTAACAGGTTGATAATTACTTCTCTGGCCATCTTAACCTCTTCTACGACACGGAACGAGAATAGTTTCGTTTACCGTACATGCACTTCACTGTCGACTACATGCATAGGCCCTATACATGTTACACAAATGACCGCTTGCTCTTTCTCCCATTACCAGTATGTGCGTAGGTAAACGTGCTTTTATAAGGTGTACTTCCATGTTCGATCCATGGTTGTATTATATTTCACCTCCAATAAATACTGACACTTTTCTGGCACTTCGGTTCGGAAATTTGATTAACAATAAGATATGGCTAGACTAGTTGCATAAACTGAATACGGTTTAAAGGGGTTTCGTGCGCACAATGCATGAATTCCCGATGTAAAAAGTGTTTTGTTGCGTTCAATGACGTGAAGTTGTTTGGGAAAACGGGGGGTGATGCTTTTGGGACGGGGTTAAGGGTTGAACACCTTTCCCACATGATGGCGCTGATGGCGAAGTTGTCACTGTTGTTATTATGAGAAGTATGTAATTGATTATGTGCATACCCATTTTGTACATCCATCATCGGCAATAATTAAAATATGAATTAAAGATTCTATGTTTTATAAGCTCTGTTTTTTTCCTCCCTTTTTTAAATCCTTGCAGTCATGAGTTATGTGTTAACTAACAGACTTCAAAATGGCATTGAACAAATCAAGGGCGAAAAAAATAGATCATTGACACACGACACCGGTAGATATTCGACATCGCTGCGTTGCCTAAGGCAATCACTGTCCTTGGCATGGCTCAATCAACTGCTTAAATAATCAAACAAACACACAAACGGTCGGTACATTTCGACTAATCCAATGGAAAGGTGAGAGATAATTGCTAGAAGGGATACAACAACTTTTTAGCAAAATCAGTAGCATCATCTTAATAAAGATTTTCCCGGCCGATTTCCTGAAATGTTCATTCACTTCTGAAAATCGGTCATTCTTTTTCGTCTGAATTTATCCCATTTCAATTCAACGAAAGTTCAATCGTTTTCATTGTCCGTGAATTCGGTTTTGAGAAACAGACGGCCAATTACGTTACCTGTGCATTCATTTACGCAAGCGTTCCTTTTTTAAATTGACTTCAGGTACAGCTAATTTGATTGACGGTTAATGAAAATGAAACCCCTGATGGCATTAAACTAAAAGTGAAATAGAACGGTGAAGGTTTGAAATCGCCCTCTAAAAGCGAACAAGAAGTCTTGTCAACGAATCTGAATGGACGTAAACGAAAGGTGCTGCTCGATCACTTAATTGATTGAACTGAAATGGAATCGAATGCTCTGGTAGCAAAAATGAAACGCGTGTTCAGAGCAATTCTCAAATTCAGACGAAAATGAATGACTGATTTTTAGAAGCGAATGAACATTTTAGGAAAGTGGCCCGGAAAACCTATATTAAGTCTGACGGTGTGCAGTCCTTTACGTACTGAGCAGCGCCCCTTTGTGCCAGAAAATATCCCCAACTTTTCGAATTCCCGAAGTTTGGGAAATTTTAAGGGAAATCTGGCCGTTCATTTCTGCCCGTTCTATCGGCGACGCCCGTGTTAAAGGTTATTTGCAAATCACTTCTATGCTGAAATAAATCGCACCGAAAAGACGATGATATTCAGCCCTAATGACTGCACTTGCAGGCCATACACTGCAAAAACACTTTTCTAAACACTTTCTTTCTATCGGTTTGTAAACATGTTTAAGTACTAAACATGATTAAATATTTAACAAGTTTAGAGTAAGGATGATAATGTTTAGCAATTAAACATTCATGTTTAGGAATTGAACACAATATTGTTTAGCTTCTAAAAATGTTTTCAAAGTTATAGCAAGATTGTGTTTAATTGCCAAATACTTCAGTAGGCCTAAATCTGCATGTGTAATTCCGCTTTACACGATAAACAAATTATCTGCTTCTACTTTAGTTCAAGAATTAAACAAACGTCCCTTTTTTTTGCCTTAAAACCAAAATGTCTAAAAATTACTTTACAAATGCATATAACTTATAACATATAACATGGAGTGTCATGGCCTAGCGGTTAAGAGCACCGGACTCATGTTCTGGTGTTTCAGAGGCAACAGTGACGTGGGTTCGAGCCCGCCGGCGGACACTTGTGCTCTTAAGCAAGGCACTTAACCATTAATGCTTCGTCCTTCGGATGGGACGTTAAGTTAACGTAGGTCCCGTGTGTTGCATAAATGCACGTAAAAGAACCCAGTAAACACTTATCGCTAAGAGAAGGGGTTTGCCCTGGTGTTTCTGGCCTCCTGTGGAGTATTTAGAAGAAGAACTAACTAAGAACCAAGAGAACTGCAGTTAGATGAATCAATACAACAACTACGAGTTTAGCCTGTTTTCGTTACCTTATAAATGAGTTTATTACACAAAATCATATACCTTTTTAAAACAGATCCCCACGCATACCTGATTATAATAATACAGGGTTCGAAATTAGCGGTAGCCCGCTAGCAAAACAGCGGCGGGCTAGTCAAACTATTCCACAAGTAGCCCGGCAGGCGAGTCAAACAATTATTGGGATACGGCAAAGACGAACGGACAGGAAGAAATAAATCATTAAATTCAGAAACAAACCCTCATCAATTTGTGCCTAATTTTATCAACTGTTTTAAACGGTTAAATTATTGGATCTGTTTATCAAAAATACTGACAAAATTGCCTCAGAATTGAGCCCGAAAATACGCCATTTTGTATTTGAGCTAAAGAAAAATGCAGGCTAGTGAAAATGCCCGCGGGCTAGTTAATAGTCTGTTTCAGTAGCCCGGCTGGCTAGTGAACAAAAAAGTTAAGGTCGAACCCTGTGACTTACATGTCTGTGTTGTTTCTGTGTTTTGAGGCCCATTGTGTACTGAATCAGACTGCGTAACGTGTTTGCCAATACGAACTGACTCGTAGTTTTCTACCACAGTCTGCCGTGTTAAAACAAACACCACACTTCGCGGACGATGAAGTGTACCAGATAGAAACAAATATAGGACAATATACAAGATTTCCAATCCCTATACAACGTACTATTGTCGTTCACTCATTCGTTAACAACCACTTCATATTACGCATTGACCGGAGTGATCTTGAACCTGAGACATATAAGGCCTTGGCCAAAAAAAAAAATAATAGTCGGTCTCTCGTCAGACCAAAGTTCCGGAATTGATGTGGCGACGCGGTTTTTTGTGTGTGTCCTGATATGCATTGGTGTCCCCATCATTTGCCTTGGTGTCCTCCATCACTTGCCTTTGTGCAATTTCCCCAGTCCTTGGTACTCCTTGGTAAAAAAAAAATAAAATGAGGTGGTAAGGCAATAGAGATCGCTGTTGTAGCTAGCGCGATAAATTTGAAGAAGAAAAAATCGACGCGCGCGCTGACCAGAGACCGACTATTATTTTTGTGTTGGCCTCATGAATAGATTCCAATTATACTCGCTCTCTATATAGCTTCATGCAACGTATGCTCTCAGCGTTCGTTCATGTTGCATTCAGTTTTGGAAGCTAAACAAGTCTATGTGCTCTAAATCACACATATACAGTGTTAATAATGGCGCACAAGAATACAGGTGTGGTTTTACCAAACCACTAGCAGAGGAGAAATATTAGTGGAACATCGTATCCGATACCCCTGTAGTGTTGCAGACATATCAGAGGAGCCAACAGATCATTGTAGATGTGAGCGTATCTCTTGCTGGATCGTTTGAGAAATACTTTTTCACAGTAGGAGCCATAACGTGTAAGAATCATTCACTTGTACACGAGGCCCAACATCCATTGCCGCTTCATCTCCATAACTCCAACAAGTTATTATGCGGCCGATCAACCGTTCAGCATTCGTGGGATTTGCCATGGGTTTCTTCCTTGGTCTTGTACCGTCCATTTTATTGGGCGGTTCGCGCAATGATCTCAGTCGCTGTGAAATGAGGAAGAGTCTGCAGACAAATCGCCCCGTGTGGTGAGTACGGTATTGCTGCTGGCCTTTGGTACAGTGGCGTGAGGTCCAGTATATACAGGGAGGCATCAGTTCTGATGTCATCATCTGGAAGTTTCATTTCTGTCTTCCTTCAAATTCTGAGTGGGGTGGGCACACAGGCTTCGACCGTGGAGGGACACGGTTCCCCGTGGCTCCATTAGATACGTCACTGCTTGAAAAGCGTCGACTACAAATGTTTTTTAATCTCTGACGACGGGCATACTGTCCAAAACGTTGAGTTTCCCCGGCTCTTTCCAGAACCTCACAAACTCAAGAAAGAGATGCGTCACATGGTGCTACCGTAAATTTTTATCGTATTTCAATTAATCTTCTTGCTTTTATGACTCATGGGTTTATCTGTGCTACATTTTTGGGGATATATGCTAAAACCTATTTAATCGTTTTATACAAATATATGATTGAAGATGCCTACGAGGGCTAAGTTGACGGATCAGTGCAGGTATAGCAAGTGTGACCAAAGATTACTTTGACTTGATTTACACCAGGCCTTCCCATCAGATTCCATCACTGAGGAACTTTCAAGACGGAAGCAAGGAGGAGCCAGGGCCAAAGGTAGGCCAGCCCATGTCACGATCGTCACCCAGGAAAATCCTGCTGGACTGCGGTGCTAACGTGGCCTCCACGGTCCTGCTGTTCAGAGAGACCTACCCCGGGGGAAGAGATTTCACCATCCACTCGTTCGAAATTGACGACCGGCTGTCGCCGTACTTCAGCCCGTACGACAAACATCATCTACACTGCCCCGTTGGCGTAGCGGGCAAGGATGGTACGTATGGGATCAACCCAAAATCTTCAATTTTTTTGAGCTTGTGTGATGATGTGATGTTGATTAAAATCGCGTTACATGCCTTGAAAATATCTGGGGATTTAGATCCATACTTTTCGAACAAGGTAGCAACTGTATAAGCAACTCACGACAAACTTGCTGCTTTTATTTGTTGTTGCAGGAAACATGACAGCTTTTTCGGAGATGGTTTGGGGACCCAAAAAGGGAAAGAATCACGGCAAAGACATGCAGTGGGGAGGAGGCTCACTCTTCGTATCCCAAAGAGAACTGAAAGATAATGTAACAGGTGATTATACGTCTAATACCCTTGAAACAATTCAATTGCAAGTGTAGTTTAAAGAATTATTTCTATCATACTTGACACAGGAGGCATTGACAAGTAGTGGCTTGATTTCGGTCCGAACATACAAAAACCTACCTATAGTAAAGGTCAAGATTATACAAACATATATAGTGTTTTCTTTTTAGATGTGTTAATTAATTTACACTAGTACAACAAAAATGTATACGGTGCGGCAGTCCAGGGCTCAAGTATTGGGAAAACACATGATTTTACTTTGAAAACATAAATATTATCTGACAGGTGGTTCTCGAAAGCTGTCCTATCGAAAGACAATTCCGGTCGTCGACCTTTCAAAATGGATCATCGACAACTTTTCAGTGGACGATTACGTAATCCTAAAACTAGACGTTGAGGGCGCCGAATTCAACATCCTACGGAAGATGATAGACGACAAAGCATTTGCCTACATCGACAAGTAAGAATATTTGAACTTCGGCTAATACACATTCTCTTTGTAAATGAGATGAGGTGTTTTTTTAGATAGCTTGTTACAAACGTGTCTAACCAAATTCCGACTAAGTTGCAAAAAAAACGAAGCCACATCGCTTGCTTTTTTTTTAATCGGACAGATACTATGGCGAATATCACGACGGTCAACCAACGGGCTGGTCGTCGAAGGGCAAGCATCAGATTCGCGTGGACATCCAGAGAGCAGGCTTCACGATGATCAAATGGATCGGGGAGACAAGAACATACGGTGATATCGGTCGAATGAACCCGATCAAGGTATGGAAAATCTAGGGAGCGATTACGTCAGAAAGTCACTGGCCAGATGGCACCAGGAATTCGATTCTGTTTGGCTTAATTCTGTTCTGGTCACCAGTGACACTTTTCTGGGTCAAAATGACAAAAGTGGTATCAAAATGATCGTCTGTAAATGTTTCAGACAAGTGTCATTTTCAACCGCAAAAGTGACATTTTTTACCCTGAAAAGATTTAGGCTATAAACAGAAGCCGGATTCCGTGTCAATCTGACAACGGTGTTTTTTTTTAGTGTAGTTAGGATATAGCAGTCCGCTGAAAGACATATCACCCCTCCAAGGTCTATCACATTTTCTTATCTCTGGCCCGGTGTTACCAATCTTCTTTGTAGTGTGCCAGCTCGTATCTCCACCACTTCTTTGGTCTTCCTTTTCTGCTCTTGCTGTTTCGTGGCTGCCAGTCTGTCTGCCTCCTTGTCAATCTCTTAATTGTCATACAGTCTGTCAGAGTGGCCCCATCACCTCAACTTGGTCCTTTTTTTAGTGAGCAAGTTCTTGATTCTCTAATTTTAGCTCGAACGTCTGGAAGCCGTATCCGGTCTATCAGAGAGATGTCTAGCATTCTTTAAGAATGCAGGGTTATAAGGGTTTAATTTTAGTAGGTAAAACTTAGATATATTTTGTCATCCTCAATTTGCTTCTTTTTCTATCATCCTGTGTTTAGGTCCCAGCAGACACCCCTGGCAAACCTGGCGAGATCTACTCGAGTTGTGAGAGCGGCTCAGTGGCCGTCACTGTCGCAGTCGGCATGAACTTCAAGCGTGCACACCGGGTGGTGGCCACTCTAGCGGCCCACAAACCCCTGGTTCCCACCACGCTGTTTGTCTATGGCGACTTCGTGCAGGTCTTCCCCGAGACGGTCAAGTCCTGGGCCCAGCACTTCAACATCGCCATACGGGAGGACGGCTACAATCCTCCGGGTCACCTGGAGCTGATGCCCGGTAACTGGGTCCGTATGGGTCTGATCAGCAGCATCTTGCGTCTGGAGGAGATTGGGATCACGACTTCTTACTATCTGCCGTCGGTGGTGAGGGATATTATTCCCACAATCAAAGCACAAGCTGCTGCAAGGGGGCTGAGGATTATTAAGCCCGTCGTAGAATTTCCTGCCAAAAATGGTAAATTAAAGAGACCAATGGAATCTATTTTGTTAATCACCCAACGAGTTTGTGTCTGTACAGTCCAGACCTCCCTCTTTAGGCTTAACTCCAAAATTTCCAAATTCGGGTATCATTTTTGGAAAACTTTGTTCTTTATTCTCCTGTTCCCATCTATAATCCCGAATCCAACATAATCTAACAGCAATACAGACCGATTGCGATCAGCCTCCATCTTTAAAGTGTGTTTTGTTATAAACAATAAATGCGCAGGAGATCTCATGCTCATCTCTTGAACAAAAGCACACACCTCGCAGGTGGCTGCAGTGCAAACAGTCAACTGCCGAATGCGAGACATCAAGTTATTGGTTTACCTCTGAGATGATCTAGTTGATATCATACCATCTTAATAAACAAGTTTAAGTTTGTTTGTTTGTTTGTTTACTCATTTGAATCTGATTGGATGCACCTGTTCGTAGTTGTTCATGTTTGACTCCACTACGTGTTTTTTCTTCTTCAGGGTCTGTAGGGCAACTTACGGTGAACAACTACTACAGAAACCGTGACGTAGAGCGCGTGCCCAAGGCCCTGAGGTTGATCCACGACGCGCTCGTCAAGAACGAAGGGGGTGTCCTAACCCTGGACACAGACTTACCAGACACCTATATGAACTCTGTTTTCATGATGGACTACCTGGTGGAAACCTCCGGCTTCAAGTTGGTGCCTTTGAACGAGTGCGTCGCTGGGTCACGATAGTACATCATAATGTGACATCAGCAACGCCCTACTGAGCGGAGGGCAAGCAAAGGGTATACACAGGGAAGCTAAGACTCATTGTCTCTGACGTCACACTAGTGGGCAGGGCTTTGTTCCCTATCCTCAGTGATGGCGCAGCGTGCGTTGGTGCCTTTGAATGAATGCGTTGCCTAGTCATGATAACCCATCAAAGTTCCGGAGTTTCTTTTTTTTTTTTACATGGCGAAGAGGTTAAGGTATTTAATTGGGGAAATGGTTAGAAAACGGTTCTGTAACACTCAGTTATTTTTATGTTAGACATGTTTTTGCAAGCTTTTGTAGCAGGAGTGCAGTGGGCGGTAATGCTATAGTTATTGTCCTGCTGTCGTTAATATTTTGTGTTTAAAAGTATAAAATAATATGTTTACTGTTGCCCAATGCAATGTCATTGCATGTTAAAAGCACACATTAGTGTCACGTGGCCTTTAGTTTTTCTTGAACACGAAGCCTATTCCTGTATTGGTTGGTATACCGTTGGTTGTGACTTTTACAGTTTCGTTGATGTGTTTTAACAGTTTACTTTCGAGTTGTCAGTATTTTTTTGTGATTTCGCGGTTTTATTTCATTACACTTATGAGACTTTGTGTGTGTGTGTGTGGTTTTTTTTTTCTCCACGGTTTTACAAAATTATTTCTTCGTAGTTAGAGTTTTACATTGACCTTGTTTTCGTTTTAATATTAACAATTTGAAATTGTTACTTTTGGGTTTGAACACTTTAAAATGCTTACTGGTTTTTAAGTTTGTGGCTTTGTGCGTCCCAGATTTGTATGTTTTGTATGGGGTGACAGCCAGCCATTAAAGAACCATTGGTTAAAGGGATGATTGAAAAGTGAGCCTTTGTACTTTCACTGCCCAGAAATCTTATAGGAACGATCATGCCACATGTCATATACACGTGATCCCTACACAATACACTGAATCTAATTTCATCAATGAACGAGTACTTGTTTGATAACATGAATCATATATAATTATAAGTTCATAATGGAATATAATATTATACATTGTGATCGCGAGTCTTGAAATTGTTGATATGATTTTCTATGGAATGGTGACGAATCATACTTCCCTCCGTGCAACTCGATGATTGTATTACCAAAAAAACTGACCTTTTAGTATCAATCGTATTTTAATCATTAAGTCATTTAAAGTGTGGGTTTTTTTCTAGGAATTTAAATGGGGATCGTATCTTATTGTATTTTGGTGGTACTTTCGTATTAATTGATGTTTTGTTTGTAATGGTTTTACATTGTTTGTCATCTTCATTATGCATGTGCCGCCACGATGAGCTATCATTATAATCCTCTTATCTATCGACTGCCCTACACGTCCCTCCTCATTCCCTCCTCACACCCCCCCCCCAAAAAAAAAAACCCACAGCCTTCTGATTGGCCAATCGGGGTGAGAAAAGGGGCGGGGCACTACCTACACTGGCCCACTGAACTACTCGCATCACAAATCTAACTTAATTCACGGATCCACTTATATACCAATTTAGTTTGTGCCTTACAGCCTCAATCGGTAAAATAAATTATACTTTAAAGTGCATACAATGGTAGGCATTTTTCTTTGATTTCTCGACCATCAATCTCGACAATATTTTTTTTGGGGGGAGGGGATGATCCAGTGGCCAACTCCCCCCCCCCTTCCAGGTAAAAAAAAAGCATCCTGTAAACTAGTGGCTCCCTGGTGTGCTGACATTTTCAAGAAAATCGTATTTTTTTTCCAGCGTTGGAGAAAACTGTCTTTTTTTAAAACTGTTCTTAATTTTTCATAATTAGTTTTTCCGAAGTTTCTTTGCAAATGATTGCACACATGAGGAGGAGTACAAGCCTGCTGGAGTGATTCGCTGACCTTACAATTCCCCAAAGTTGACAAACTGCTCTGTTGATGTTAAGTGGGGTCAGTGAACCAGACAACAATAGCATTATTGGCTTTTCTTGGCTTTTCCAGCATAATCCCCCAAATCCATTTACTACTGAAAATTGCAGCAAGAGCAAATGTTGTACATTCCTTTTAATTCACGATACCAAATCACGTAGTTTTATCAAAATTCCTCCCTAGTCTTACCCACGTGTTCTCGTTCTTCTCTAAAGGCAGGCGTACCGGTGTCCTTGTGTATTGTATTGCCACTGACACAACACTTTTTATTCAACAACATATCCTCGGTAGTTACAAAAACAAACAGAACACCTCCCACACACAAATATACCACTGATATACAAAGGACACCAAAACACAAGATGTCCTGCTACAACAGACGATTGTTCGTTTTCTTAGTCATATATTATTACTGGCTACGATTGGTGTGAAACATTTACCGCCTCAGTAGACGAGAACGTAGACTACCAGGAAACTGCGCACCAAAAATACACTATTAAAGAAGCTAGCTATGGGATAAAGTTTAGTACAATTTTAGTTTTTACCACGCAGGCATTCGTTCATGTCATATGATGATGATACTTCTTTTCAATTTGGGTATGATTTAAAACTGATCAGTACTCGTGTCATAAGAAACCAAAGCGAAAGATTTGACATAATATTACTGCACATAATTTTAGCAAAGCTTTTGACAAGAAATCTACAACGACAACGTTGGTTTGATGATGGCTGTTTTGGTGCTCACCCTCTCGCTACTGTTCGCATCTGCCAACATGGCGACATCCTTAACAGTCACAGCTACGACTGAAAGCGTGACTGTCAGGAGAGGTGAACGGTTGCAACTGTCTTGCGTCATTGAGACCGGACCTGGTGAAATTGTGGGTGAAGTCAAATGGTACCGCGGGATGGATGTAAACGCGTATGCCGTACTGAATATTTCACCAAGCTGTGCACCGCAAGCTGACTACTTCTGTGCCGAGGGCCGAACGATTGACGACCGAGGAAGAGTTATATACCAGAAGAATACAATTGTTGTTGCAACACTGACTTTGATTTTTGCGAACAGCAACTTGACAAACAGTACAATATTTTCCTGCGGTGCTGTATTGGCTGCTGGCAGGCAAGAACCGAAACGGTCGAAAAGCATACGCGTAACCGTATGTAATTTTCCAAGCGAAAATTACCCAGTCTGCATATATTCGTGGCCTTTTCAAGAGTCACTTATGCTTTCTGCTTTTATTTGTGAAGCTGAAATGACTGACCCAGTGGTTTCTCTGGAGTGGACAACCGTGGCAAATTCAGCCAGGATATCACTCTCAAACAATACAGTCATCGTCGATGATCAAGTTAAAAATACATTGAATCTAACCACCGTGGACAGTTCCTATTACATGTTCAGATTCACCTGTTACATGAGAAGTGAGGCATGTCCCGGTATAGAAAAGAAGTGCAAGCTTGGGCCACTAGTAATCAATCCAGCTAGCCCTTTACCTGATGAACTTACATCCGTCCCCCGCAATTTAGACCAAAATGTGTCAACCAGTCCAAGTAATATCACTGAATGTTGCAACGATGATCCAGTGACAACTTCCCAATCGCCAACTCCTACAAGCACAAACATCGTGCTTATTGCTGCAATAACAGGCGCTAGTAGCTTGGCAGCTTTGATTATAATCGTCAGTGTATGTCTGCTTTCAAGGAGGAAATCAAAGAAACGAAGGCACGGAAGAGCATCGAGGGACAATGATTTGCACGTCTATGCTACTACCGTGCCTTAAACCAAGACCAGTAATATCCGGCAAATGCCAACGATGAGACCACTCACCGCGGGAAGGCAGATGCGGCACCTTACCAACGGGGGATAACAGACTGACGGGCCCCGTACAGCCACCAGCTGCTTACGCCTCGGTCCCTGAAGTTGGCCGACAGCACCCACCCCGAAGTAAGCCGTGCTGGATCTGGAAATGGCATCATCACGAAAAACAAGTGACTTTTAATTCTGACTTTTTATTCTTGACCATGCACACAAGGTTTTATCAGAATGATGATGACACAACACGGAAGAGTACGATGAACAAAACACGGAAAAACTGAGGCACCTCAAGTTTATTTTGGACGTACTTTTGTTAGATTTGTTTCTACTCATGAGATGATGGTAATGATGACTTTCCAGCGTTTGTATTTATAAATTCGAAATAATTTTAACAAAAAAGACTCTAGCTATCCGGTGACAAAAACGTGTACGTAGACATCGGCACTTTATGTTCATTTCTAGTGAACTGCACTGTAACTCGCATTTTAAATACTAGGAGTTGCTTGGTCGCTTTTTACATCTGTATTTTCCCCTATATTCACCGTTACTTTTTTTCCCAAGAAGACGTATTATTGACAGGGGAGCTTCTTGGTCGGCACTTTTGGTTGATCAATTCAAAATTGTCTGGAGATGTTCTAATGGCAGACGATCTTATGAACGAAAACTAACTACAGTATATTATCTACACTCTTTACTTTAAAATGTATAAAAAAAACATTTATCTCTAATAAAAATTCACTTGTTTGAATATTTCATGGCGACATTAAAGTTACGTCTTGTTCAATGATTTGTTTCCACCATAAAATTAAAGATTCCTCTGTAGCTAACGACGTGTATCACAAGATTATGGCTCTATAAATGGTTTGGGTGCTTACTAAACGACTGTTGATTATCATCAGTCCACTTTCACTTGAGAATTAATGAAATTAATGCCGGGGAAATCAGTAGATTTTACTTCAGAGAAATTTTCCTGTGCACATGGATTCCAGTATTGAATTAATTCAAAGTTTCCGAGATGGTTGAAACAGTACGGCAATACACTATATCAGTATATTCCAGTACATGTACTACCGAGAAAAAAAATCAGAGACAGCCGGCCCTTTGAAAATTGAGTCTTAAATTCCAGCCGATCCAAATTATTTGCAACTATTGCGACTTGGCAATGCATTCGTTCAAATGCATCAACTTGAAGGCCGAGGTTTCCATAGATCATGAAAACAGAGTTCATGTAGCTGTCTTGTAAGTCTGTGTCTAGGGTAAGGACGTCTCCTTCGTTCGCGGAGCACGTCGAGGATCCGCCGCGGGGCCTTGGGCACGCGCTCTACGTCACGGTATCTGTAGTAGTACTGTATAAATCCGGGGGCGGTGTTTGATGGGGAGGAAATATCCCCTCCCCTTTTTTTAACAGGGGGAGGTGGCTATTGAATCATTCCCCCAGATGTGTGTGCTGAGAAAACAAAGCAAAAGGCCGATCAACGGTACAACAGCTTAACATGCACCGATTTTATGTAGTTTTAAGGGACCTATGAACTCGGACATTTGCATAAAGTGTAAACAAGGCCTCCAGCCCCCCCCCCAGTGTCATGTGGTGTCCAGCCCCTCCCCCTCCCCCCTCCCCCGCTTATACTGTCCGGCTATTTTAGGATTTTTCGTCACCCCCACCCATTTCCCTACACGGATTTACGCCACTGCAGGATCTGATACATTTGTCAAATCTTGGTCAACAAAAGACGCCGCCGTACATCATTTAGCAGACTTTGTAGTTGAATTGGAATTTATTGGCCATAAAATAAGTCTTTCATTTACCATTTCTGGCAGGAAATTGTACGGCGGGCGTAATAATCTTCAGCCCCCTTGCAGCAGCTTCTGTTTTGATTTTGGGAATAATATCCCTCACCACCGACGGCAGATAGTAAGAAGTCGTGATCCCAATCTCCTCCAGACGCAAGATGCTACTGATCAGACCCATTCGGATCCAGTGACTGGGCATCAGCAACAAGTGAATACAATTATTAACTCATTTGCATTTGAATGTCTATGGGTAATCTCAGGTCCCCACTCAACTGTGTAGCTTCAAAGCAATTAGCGATCCATGGGCAGCTGAAAAAGAAATGGATTATCTTAGCAAAACATGCATTTCTTCAGATAGCATGCATCAATTTCACATGAGTGGAAGAAGATGCTTGTTTAATACAAGTCATGCTTCATGGATGTATCAAATTAAATTTGCTTTTAAGAGGGGAAATCCTTAATCCTGGTCACTTTCTTTTTGACTCACCGTGTAGTTTTCCAGTCCCAGTAAATTTAAAGCTTCAAATTAATAAATGCATCACATTCTCGCCCAATAGGCTAAAATTATGGACTTTTTCCCCTAAGTATGCGGGTTTCAATTAATTGATTTTTTAACTACTACATGTACACACCTCGCATGATGAATAACAGCTATATATTGTGCAAATCAACCGAACAATTCAATTGAGGGTCTTTATCGGGAAAGGCTTCCTTCTTTCGATTCGGGTTTTGTAATCTCGTTTATGAATGGGTTCCTTCCTAATTCACGCGTACAGCGAACGCAAACGAGCGGCAATAAAGGACATGCATTCGTTGTGTTACAAATGATGGGGAAAACCCATATTAATTCATGATACGAAATCACGTATTTTGATCAAAATTCCCCCATAGCCTTACCCACCTGTTCTCGTTCTTCTATAAAGGTATAGGCGTAGGCCTACCTGTTTCCTTGTGTATTGTCACTGTGTTTACACATACGTTGTATTCAACAAAATATCTCTGTAGTTACAAAAACAAATACGACACCTCCCACACACAAATATACCACTGATGTACAAAGGACACCAAAACACAAGATGTCCTGCTACAACAGACGATTGTTCGTTTTCTTAGTCATATATTATTACTGGCTACGATTGGTGTGAAACATTTACCGCCTCAGTAGACGAGAACGTAGACTACCAGGAAACTGCGCACCAAAAATACACTATTAAAGAAGCTAGCTATGGGATAAAGTTTAGTACAATTTTAGTTTTGCCACGCAGGCATTCGTTCATGTCATATGATGATGATACTCCTGTTTAATTTGAGTATAATTTAAAAGTGATCAAAACTCGTTTCATAAGAAACCAAAGCGAAAGATTTGACATAATATTACTGCACATAATTTTAGCAAAGCTTTTGACAAGGAATCTACAACGACATCATTGGTTTGATGATGGCTGTTTTGGTGCTCACCCTCTCGCTACTGTTCGCATCTGCCAACATGGCGGCATCCTTAACAGTCACAGCTACGACTGATAATGTGACTGTCAGTAGAGGTGAACGGTTGCAACTGTCCTGCGTCATTGAGGCTGAACCTAGTGAAATTGTGAGTGAAGTCAAATGGTACCGCGGGATGGATGTAAACGCGTATGCCTTACTGAATATTTCACCAGACTGTGCACCGCAAGCTAACTACTTCTGTGCCGAGGGACGAACGGTTGACGGCCAAGGAAGAGTTATATACCAGAAGAATACAACTGTTGTTGCAACACTGACTTTGATTTTTGAGAACAGCAACTCAGTGACAAACAGTACAATATTTTCCTGCGGTGCTGTTTTGGCTGGCAGTCAAGAACCGAAACGGTCGAAAAGCATACGCGTGATGACCGTGTGTCATTTTCCAGGCGAAAATTACCCAGTTTGCACAGGATCGTGGCCTTTTCAAGAGTCAATGTTTGCTGCTTTAATTTGTAGCGCTGAAATGACTGACCCAGTAGTTTCTCTGGAGTGGACAACCGTGGTCAATTCATCCAGGATATCACTCTCAAACAATACAGTCATCGTCGGTGATGAAGTTCAAAATACATTGGATCTAACCACCGTGGACAGTTCCTATTACAGTTTGACATTCACATGTTACATGAGAAGTGAGGCATGTCCCGGTATGGAAAAGAACTGCTCTCTTGTGCTAGTCAAAAATGCCAATCCAGCTAGCACTTTACCTGATGAAACAGTTGCATCCGTCTCCGGCCATTTAGACAAAAGTATGTCAACCAGTCCAAGTAATATCTCGGAATGTTGCAACGATGATTCAGGGACAACTTCGCCATCACCAACTCCTACAAGTACAAACATCGTGCTCATTGCTGCAATAGCAGGCGCTAGCAGCTTCGCAGTCTTGATTCTTATCGTCGCTGTTTGTCTCCTTTCGAGGAGGAAAGCGAAGAGACGGAGGAATGGAGCAGCATCGAGGGACATTAATTTCCACGTGTATGCTAATACTGTGCCTGGAACCAAGACCAGTAGATGCCCGGCGAATGTCTACGATGAGGATCACCGCGGAGATCGGGAAGGCATGAGCGACACCGTACCAACGGGGGATTACAGACTGACGGGCCCCGTGCAGCCACCGGCTGCCTACGCGTCGGTCCCTGTAGTCGGCCTGCAGGACCCACAAGCGCCGGTATACGACGTGCTGGATCCGGACATGGCATCATCACGAGAAACAAGTGGTGACTTTTAAGTCTTCTGCACGCAGACATTGTTTATCAGAATGACGACGGCTCGACACGTGCGAAAGAGTACGGTGAACAAAACGTACGATGAACAAACCATGCGAAACACTGAGACTTTTACAGTAACCTAGACATAGTTTTGTTAGGTATGTTTCTTCTTATGGGGTGATGCGGTAATGACTTTCCAACGTTGGTATTTTAAATTCGAAATAATTTAGACACTAAAAGACCCTAGCTTTTCGTGACAAAAATTGTACATGATGTAGACTAATATCCACGTTTTATGTTCATTTCCGGTAGAATGCATTGTAATCTGTAACTCGCGCTTTAAATTTTTGAGTTGCTTTGGCGTCATCTTTGACCTCATTTTTTTCTCATGCTAGAAGACGTATAAAGGAGGGCTTCTCGATCTTTAGTTTTGGTTCTTATGCGATCTTGTGACTGGAAATGATTTAATGAAAGAAAACTAGTATCTGTATTTTTTTTTACTTTAAAATTATATTTAAGTATTTTTGACTTAAAAGAAGCTCTTGTTAGAATATTTCGTGATGAAATTATAGTTATACCTCATGAATTATATTTATATACCACCATTATAATTAAAGAGTCCTCTATAGCTAGCGACATGCGTCACAAGATTATGGCTCTGTATAAAATGGTTTGGCACTTTATCTAAACATAATTATTTTCAGTCCATTTTCACTTTAGAAATAATAAAAATTAATGACGGAGAAATCAGTGGATTTTACTTCAGAGAAATTTCCCTCTGCAGACTGATTCCCAACATTGAATTTATTCAAAGTTTCCGTTATGGTCCAGACAGTTCGGCAACCATATCAGGAAATTCCAGTGGTACCGAAAAATCAAAGTCAGGCGGCCCTTTGAAAATGGAGTCTTAAATCCCAGCTGATCCACATTATTTACAACTATCGTGACTTGGCAACGCACTCGTTCAAAGGCACCAACTTGAAGCCGGAGGTTTCCACCAGGTAGTCCATCATGAAGACAGAGTTCATGTAGGTGTCTGGCAAGTCTGTGTCTAGGGTTAGGACGCCCCCGTCGTTCTTGACGAGCGCGTCGTGGATCCGCCGCAGGGCCTTGGGCACGCGCTCTACGTCTCGGTATTTGTAGTAGTTGTCCAGGGTGAGTTGCGCTTTGGAACCTGAAAAAATCCAAAACAAACCTTTCGCTTATTACCACCGACAAACTTGCCTATTCACAAAGGGGTATATTCTGAAACCACGTCAGAAATTTCTTGTAAATCTAGTACATGTGTACTCAAGGAGCAAGCAAAAACTTTGATCTTTTTGCAATGTCCAACACCATGTGGTATTTAACTGTACACATATTCAGTTGAACTCCACTAAAGCCTTGTGTTAGATTTTGTTTGAATGGGGATTGTTAGGGTTAATAAAGATCCCCATCCAGCCAAACTCTAACACAAGGGTTTGGTAGAGTCCAACTGTTTATGTGTACAGTTTAATACCATATGGTGTTGGAATTTGCAAGGGTGGGGAAGGTTCCTATATAGTAAATCACTGTAGGGGGTTAGTCTGATGTGTTCGGTAACACTGTTCGAATTTTTGGTATTGAGCTTTCGGCATGAAAAACATCGAGGTTTACCGATTTCAAACCAAAATCTTGGCCATGACTTCAGGATCTGAATCTCAGCTTGACAGGAAGAAACAATATTTTGGTTAAAAGATGCTTGTGTTAGTTTCTTGCATTTACCATTTCTGGCAGGAAATTCTACGACGGGCTTAATAATCCTCAGCCCCCTTGCAGCAGCTTCTGTTTTGATTGTGGGAATAATATCCCTCACCACCGACGGCAGGTAGTAAGAAGTCGTGATCCCAATCTCCTCCAGACGCAAGATGCTACTGATCAGACCCATACGGACCCAGTGACCGGACATCAGCTCCAAGTGACCCGGGGGATTGTAGCCGTCCTCCCGTATGGCGATGTTGAAGTGCTGGGCCCAGGACTTGACCGTCTCGGGGAAGATATGAACGAAGTCGCCATAGACAAACAGCGTGGTGGGAACCAGGGGTTTGTGGGCCGCTAGAGTGGCCACCACTCGGTGTGCACGCTTGAAGTTCATGCCGACTGCGACAGTGACGGCCACTGAGCCGCTCTCGCAACTCGAGTAGATCTCGCCAGGTTTGCCAGGGGTGTCTGCTGAAACCTAAACACAGGATGATAAAAAAAAGTCACACTCGGATGATTCTTTTTTAGGTTATTGGTTATTGGTCAGAAGCACTTGACTATTTATCCTCGCCTACATATGACCGGTCGATAACAAGATTCTCCATACCTTCACCGGATTTAGTTGCTCGATATCATCGTATGTTTTGGTCTCTCCCGCCCATCCAATCATCGTAAAGCCTGCCTCCTTGATATCAGCGCGTATCTTATTTTTGCCTTCCATGGTCCAGCCTGTTGGTTGACTATCATGGTATTCACCGTAGTATCTGAAGGATAAAAAGGAAGCACTTAGCTCTGTGATTTGCGACCGTACTGACATTGTCTGTAAATTTTTAAATATTTGCTAATTACTCCGTCATTTTTTCGTCACAAAAATGTCATACTCAACAAGTTCCCTATCTAGACAAAGCATCGTGAGTGCCCCTTTAACCTTCGTTGAACTTTTGACCATGAATTTCTGAGGCAAAGATCAGACCCAGGCCAACTCCCATAGGATTTGTATTGTTTGACTCTAGCCACAAGGCTTGTGAAGTCACAGCTGCTGTTGTCACAAAGCCATCTATCATCCTGACATCATCCAGGCCTTCTATCACTCGGACTGAGAATCTGCAGCGGTTAACAGCAGCTGCAGCTGCAAGCCAACTTTAGTTTGTGTTTGAAGGCGTGATTTTCAGAAATCTCGTTTAAGAACATGTACGGCATATAAGATGCTTTCTGAGTGATACGAAATTATCCGGGTGTTCGTTTATAATATTTAGGAAAAATCGACAGGGAAATGTTTACACAAATTTGAATTGAAAGCAAGTCGTTAATGAAAGCAAACGACGTTGGGAAATATCATTCGCTGAAACAATATACATCCAGCCTATATTCCTGTTTCTACTTTACTAATGGACGACGGAAATTAAAATGTCTTACTTGTCGATGTAGGCAAATGCTTTGTCGTCGATCATCTTTCGTAAGATGTCGTATTCAGCGCCCTCAACGTCCAGTTTTAGTATGACATAATCGTCCACTGAAAAGTTGTCTTTGATCCATTTTGAAAGTTCGACGACGGGAATTGTCTTTCGATAGGACAGCTTACGTTTACCACCTATCAATATTGCATGGACAAACAGTGAACACAATTAATAATGTGATATTTATCAATTTTGGGGCACTGGGGCCATTCAGAATTTTCAATGTTTTAAAATTTCGATCTTTTTTCAAAATTGTGGGTGGGTGGGTCAAGCTAAATAACTGAAAATCGAAATTCACTTTCCATGGAAAAAAGATTTTAAAAAAACATAGAAAGATATATCTTTTGACTTGCCTGAACTACGCGCAAGCATTCCGATATCGCGATGCGTGTTTCTTTTCCAACTTCGTCCCCTATATGTACTGTCAGTGGCGTAGCCAGGAATTTTCCAGTGGCGGGGGGGGGGGGGGGGGGGCGCTGGGGGGCTGGAACATTTCATGGGGGGGGGGAGGGGGCGTCATGTAGATCAATGATATTTTTTTAGAAACTCAAAATCTCAGTGGGGGAGGCGAATGGGGGGGGGGCGACAAGGTTTCATGGGGGGGGGGGCTGTCGCCCCCCACGCCCCCCCCCCCCGTGGCTACGCCACTGCAGGTCAAACAGTTAAAGTTTATGTAAACTTGTATGAAAAGTCAAAGAAAAGTAACTCCCATGATCTATTTGACACCAAGTTTGTGTTAACTTGCCGGTAACGCCCTAAACAATTATCCAGACAAATATGTTTATTTTGTAACATTTTATGTTCGTCTGTCGGTCTTCTATGCTGTTATGTTTACTTTTAGGTACCTTCAATGGTACTATGTTTAATTAACCTGTTCATTTGGTTAATTAAACTAATAACGCACATATAGTTGCCAAATATGGCACTAACAAGTTTGAGGTCGGCAATTTCGTCTTTAAAAATCTGGGTACGTCGGGTTACCGTACACACAATTGTCCTGGAAACAACAGTCCCAAAGTACAGAAAGTGTACGCAAGAGCTCCCCAGCAAGTATCGCTGACGCCATTATGATTCCAAAATTTCTCACTGTGTCACACAGTGAAATAACTAAACAGCGTCGTTGTATTGTGAACACATAAAAGCATTCAAGTCGCGTTCTTGCACACTTTCTTCATGTCGACATAGATATCCTTGAACCACTGCCCCTGCTTTGCATAACAAGTGCACATGAATGAACGATTCGACTTTTATTCAAAGAAATTTCTATGTACAGTCACCAGACTCTATTCAGTAAAGTCCCCGTCAAAACGAAAGTAAACAACCCACGTGCATAACGCACGGCTACACCATCGTACAGTGTGGCAGGGACACCAACAAGTAACACAACAACTAATATTTTTTTTTAAAATTGATAAATATTCTGATTGAATTTCGTTAAAAGATACATGTTGGTGAGGTATCACATATTCTAGCAAATTGATAAAAATGTACAATATTACAATATGCAATTTTGAGGGAAATGGGCAAAATACTGCATAAATAATTTCACTTGATCATATACACAAACCGACAATTTTCATTTTCAGACCCACAACGAGAAATATTGTTAACACTGGGCTTATTGTGAGGAGTTGTGCTGGGAATCCATGAAGATGTTATTTTCAACATAATTTCTAAACAATTTAATGGGACATTCCGTGACATGAGCCTTCCAGATGAAAAGTTTGTGGGTGCACACCAATACATAAATTCCCATAGGCACCAAAGATAAATACCCCAATTTAAACAAATCGGGGAACATACTCTGAACCCTCACAGGTGATCAAAACATACATCAAATGAAAGCTGAATTAATCCTCTTTACCTTTTTGGAAATCTTTTTTTTTGGGGGGGGGGGTTTGACCTATGACTTTTAGGTGATTTTTCCCTCCAACGATGATCACCCCATCGCCATTTTGAAAAACACCAAAAAAAACCAGATTCCTTCCACTCCATATCAATATAGATTCCATTCAAATGTTTTGTTCAGAAATCCAAGTTCAGGAACATGGACCCTTCACTTCTACAAATACAGACCCTCAAGTGCAGGGGCCAAAATTCTTTATTATAAGAGATAAACTAGTATACAAATCGTAATTTGGCCGGATTAGGTCGCGCCTATTTGGGCTGCCTCTCATATGTACTGCGATCGGGAAATCTCCAGCGTAATAAAGACTTGAAGAAACTTTATTTGATTTATTTGATTCAATTATTTTATTTTAAATCTTAAAACATAAAATAAAAGCTAAAAGTTGGACAGGCTGCCACGGATATGTAAAAGTAAAAAAAAACCAATTGTCATCAGACATTTATCCAAACCCCTGCCAATAAAACAGATTTAAAATTCCATTCATAAAAATTAAAGTACTATTGAAAAGTAAATTGTACAAATCATACGAGACGAGACTTGACGAGACATGACGAGACGAGACAAGACGGGGAGATGAGACAAGACTCAGCAAAAAAATCATAGAGTGAAACATTGGACAAGCCAGACAGATACAAAAATATAAAAACGAACTAATAAATAAATACTCTTACAACCCAACAAACAAACAAACAAACAAAACAAACAACCAGACTCAAAAACGGGAATGAATGACAAACGGGCTAAAAAGATTATTACAAACAAAACAAAACAAAACCGAGAAACAAAAGCAATCCCATTCCCCAGAGAGAAAAATGCAAACCATAAAAACAAACAACCTAGTTGACATACATGTACATAGGTCTACACTCACATTAAATACACACACTAAAGAAACAACAAGAAAATACCCGGGAACAAAATGAAATAAGACACAATTTTACATTGACGATAAAATAAATATGACTGCAACAATTCCTCCCTCAGTTTTGAAAGAAAAGATTCACAACCTTCCATAGTTAAAACTTTTTCTAATTTTAACACGATGACTTCGGAGAACATGAATGAGGCAATTGAACAGTTCTCTTATCTTGTAATCCATGTGTCTATCAGTTCTAAGTTTCAAGTGGTGAAACGTTAAAGGCTATGCGACGGAGCTGCCCTGCAATTCATTCCTGAAATTATTGTTGCATTCCCTATTAGTTCATTAACTTTATATTAGAATCAACATTATTATCTATGATAACGAATTTGGCGGGAAACAGAGCTTTCACACAGTGACTTTACTGGTTTATTTAACTTCGTGGGGATTCCTCCAACGTCAGGCTTTTCCTTGGTTTCAACACCGGTGTCGGAGTCTCACAACACTAACTGGGGGAACCAAGTATGCCAAAGATTTTAGCTGAACCGAGTGGCACGGTACGAGCTTTCGCTTCGCAGAGACGGCCGGACTGAAGCGGGAGCGGACCGCTACAGTGACGGGGAAGCAACAGCTGGACGGGGCCAGCGAGTGTACCGGATCACACTATAGTTCGAGCCATGGTGTGCATAGTCAACCGGGGCCAGTGGCTGGGGGGGGGGGGGGGGGGGGGGGGGCTGGAACATTTCATGGGGGGGGCGTCATGTAGATCAATGATAATTTTTTTAGAAACTCAAAATCTCAGTGGGGGGGGGGGGGCGACTGGGGGGGGGGACAAGGTTTCGGGGGGGGGGGGCTGACAACTTCACGCCGTCACTGAACTAGACACACATGTACATGGTGTTCAAGTACATGTACATGCAAGTGCATGTACATGTACATGTTCAGTTTTTTATTAATCGAAATTAGGGGTGGGTGGGTGGGTCAAAATAATTTGGAAAAAAATCGAAATTTTAAAACATTGAAAATTCTGAATGGCCCCTTAAAGCTCACGTCCACCAACTCCTTCACAAGATTGTGTGAAACGGATTAGCGCCACCAGCGTTCTTGAATAGGACGGTGGGGGCGAGAGAACCATCCTCAACTAACTTCTTATTTCTGAATTGGCTGTGGCTGTCAGCTCCGACTGAATTGGCTATGGGTTGCTGCATCACATAAAAATAACATGTACATGTACGTTTTTAACATGTTGGTCTGGATTTGACACATGAGGGTGCGTTATGGTACGGCGTGTACAGTGTACGTATTCGCTATGCGCACATTTAGATACAGACCGAGCGCAACCCAGACTTGGCCAAGTCTAGGTAGTCTCATGCGTTGTTATTGCCGGTGTCATATGAAAATCCGACTCCTATGAAAATCCGACTCCTTTTCCATATTATTGGTTAATCCCTCGCATGTGACAGGTCACTCTCCCATAATGATCTTAAAAATAGCATATTATCGTACTCAATAAGTCCATATTTCATGGAGTCTGATATTCACGCTACACCGGTCGTAGCCACATTATTCGGACGATTTTGAGCATAGGGGTATAGTCTCGATTTTAGTCTCTCTAGTCTCTCACGCAGGCATCACGTATTCTCACATAATACGGACTTGAATTTCAGATTAAAATTATTTTATGACGCACCTGTTACGTTGTTTTTCCGTTCTGTCTCGGACACGTAGAGTGAACCTCCTCCCCACTGCATGTCAATTCCGCGATTCAGAGGCTTCTTCGGTCCCCAAACCACCTCAGAAAAAGCCGTCATGTTACCTGCCGGAAAGAGAACACATGAATTGGTGAGTTCCTATATTATTGCATTCAGACTGGGCAAGGAGCAATCCCCAAAGATTTCCCAATTGTTCTCGTAGCCGACGTTATTACTTGATTGTAACAAAATTGTACAGAATGTTACAAATTTAACCGCGTAAAATTGGCGCGCCTTGAGAAAGAGGTGGGGAAGTCTCTCATGGACACAGAAAGGGCTTCAACTAGGCAATGGTGCCCACTCAGGAGTCTCGACCCACGGCTACCTCTGGCACGCAAAAAATGCCTGTGTCACTTCAAGTGGCAGCCATTTTGTGTCCACGGCAGCATTACCACGACACATTGTCAAGTGCCATGTGTAGGTAATTAGCGTGCGATAGCATACAAACAAGTGTCTCCAAAGACTATACATTATACCCATGATTTCGAAGAGCTGAGAGAAGTTAAAGATTATTAATGGGTGCGTACCATCTTTGCCCGCTACGCCGACGGGGCAGTGCAGATGATGTTTGTCGTACGGGCTGAAGTACGGCGACAGCCGGTCGTCAATTTCGAACGAGTGGATGGTGAAATCTCTTCCCCCGGGGTAGGTCTCCCTGAACAGCAGGACCGTGGAAGCCACGTTAGCACCGCAGTCCAGCAGGATTTTCCTGGGTGATGATCGTGACGTGGGCTGGCCTACCTTTGGCTCTGGCTCCTCCATGCTTGCGTCTTGAAAGTTCCTCAGTGATGGAAACTGATGGGAAGACCTGGTGCGTGTTAAATCAAACTATAGGTCAGACATTTTTTCTACCTTCGTTGAAGCCAAGTTGAACCAAGTTGGATCAAATTGAAGCCCCATTTCCCCCCAGCATTTGTGTAATAACGTTGATCAATTTGTTCAGTACGGCAAATAAATTTCAGCACGGCAAAAAAAGTGCCATGAACTTAAAAAAAACACACCTTTACTCACCCAAGTTGATGTGACAGCGGGCACTTGCATTCCTCACGGCAGCGGTGAAAGTTGAGCGAACCACCCAATAAAATGGAAGGCACTAGACCCATGAAGAAACCCATGGCAAGGCCTAGGAATGCTGAAATGTGAATGGATTGCATTGTTTCAGTTCTGAAAATTAAACGGGGGTAACGTGAGTCTCAGTGCAAGTACACGATTATTACGTGTAAACATGCACTCATTCACTATAACATGTGCCTAAGTTTCTTTGATACGTCACAATACCACTCTGCAGAGAAGGTTGTTTGGTTAACCCCGCACGTGATATTTTTGCACCTTGATTCATTCAACCTACCGACGCCCGTGCGTGTGAACAGGTTTTCCCATTGTTGTATAAATTTGAGCTCCATTTTGTTTGACATCTACTGCCTACCTACTTAATTGAATGGTAAAATCACAAACATGTCACACATATTCGATCCTCAGTTAATAACCAATAGGTACGCGATGATTCTTCCTCCAGAACCATGCCTCACTAAAAGGCATATTCCACTCTACCACTGAGGCTAAACAAACAAAAAAGTTTGTGTAGTTTTGTGGGGTAAGTAAAACAAAGAAACACGAATGGATTTCGGTCCTATAGCTTTCCGATTCTAAATAGCGGCATTGCGGATGACATTATCTCAGTGAATTAATTCCCACTACAATAATGAGCAACACAAAAGGAAATTATATCACCATATAAAAAAACACCAACCATGCAAATATTTCACTTGGATTTAATCTTACGAGGCAATTCGCAAAGTGCTAATCGAATCCACCCTAACGATCACGGGAAGGCACCCTTCCATATAACGGTACAGGAGAGTCACTCAAAACAAGCCTTAATAGCACAGAGGAAGTTTCTAAAGAAACTTACTATAGCGTAAGTTATAAGATGAAGTTGTTTTGTTGGCGGCGCAGTTCTCACTATTGTCCTGTGCGGTGCACTGACCCGTTCAATGTTACATTCCACTTGCAATGAATGAAAAAAAGTACAATCGTTTGGTGAAGGAAGGCCAAGGAAAACGTGTCTATTGTCCTCGTGCTTTTTATAGCAACAAGCCTAGTTTTTGGTCTAGGAAGAATCTTGTTTGTTTTTGGGAGAGCCTTTACGGGTTGGGGGCCGTCGGTTAACACAGTTGTCAATGTCGATGAACTGTGTCTGTATTTAAAATACACACAGTATAGGCCCAGTTAGCGGCAATACACAAGTTGCCTACGAAAAGAAGTGCCGAGTATGACAATCATGTCCGATTCACCAGAGTGAGACTCAACATTCAAAATCAAACACTGACGTGTAGTATTAACGTAAAGTCACCAGACTATTCTTCTCCGAATTATAATATCCAAGAGGCTTTGAGATTTACAGATTGACAAGTAAAAGGTAGAAAGGGAGAAGCTAGTGCTGCTCGAGGTCATGGGGACGAGGTCATGGGGACGAGGTTGTCGCACACCACTAAAATGAGCGCTTCATAATGTGCGCCCTCTTGTGTCCGTTTCTGACCGACGTGTTAAGAAGGAGTGCAGTCGCGTGTGCCGCAAAGTCTGTACTTGCACGTACTGTACATGTCTATATTTAATTCGTGTGTGTCAACCAATAGAAAAGAAGCATTCGAAGAATGAGCATTTAGAGATAAATATGGATAAGGATATGGATAGGCCTATGTGGATGTATATATGGATATGGATATGAATATGTATGTAGCATAAGGATGGATATGGATATGATATGGACACGGATATGGATCTATGCTCTAGAAAAAAATGAGTCAAGTCTGCCATATTTACTTGTGAAAACTCGGGACGGAAAAACAAAACTGCACTTTACTACAGAAAACACTTAAGACTATTTCCATGACTTTTGCTAGTTTGTATACTCTGCACTGGATTGGGAGAACAATATCCCTGAACAAATTTGTCACACGTTGTCCCCAAAACCCTCAATTTCCCGTTTTTCGACAGTTGAATAAACCATTTCAATAACGTATTTATAAAACAATCAATATTATTTTATTGTACTTCCACACACTGTTCATCACACATTTTCTAAAAAAAATACCAAATACCGCACGAGAAATTAGAATTAAATATTGGATTTTTGTTAAAACTTAGACACTACATGAAGTACAAGCCCTCGAACATTTAAACATTAACCAACCTATACAATACAGACAAGCTGTAATACAGCTAACTCACATCACATCACGGAGTTGCCTCGGAATAATGTGCATGGAATGTTTACACTTAATTGTATTATAGGTTTTCCCGGCTTTTTAAAAAGATTTTTTCATTCAAATTCACCAACTCGATCATTAAATTTCGTCCAAGAAAAATTTCACACGCTTTTGACAAAATCAATTTGAATTTTCAGATACAAAGTCATACCATTGAATTTCAAAGTTTGGTCACCCTTTTTAGTAACCAGGTCGAGAATATTTGTCATTACACATCGAATTCGTCTAAACTGTTGCCGAAATGGCAGCATTCAGAGATCGAATTCATCTTATATAAATCAATTAGACGAATTTGATTTCTGAATAACAAGGTTTGGCGTAGACGAAACGAAATCGAATACTCCGGGACAAAAACGTATGCTCATTGTTTGAACTTTCTTGAACTGAAGTGCACTAAAGTGATGTTGCTGGACGAATTTGAATACAATAATCGGTGAATTCGAACGAAAATGTTTAAAATAGCTGGGAAAACCTATACAATGATAAATTGGCCTGTGGTATAGTAATACAGTCACTATTAAACAAAATCAATATATTATCATATTCCAATCAAACGTGCATACAACCCTCAATACACATGCAGGTTTTAGCATTGTGCAATCAGATGACCACACCAAACCAGATTCAAAGAAAAGGTCCAGTTTATTTTTATATTCCAAATAAATTATAATGTATACATGTATACACATTCCTTAATAAATTCTTCTTAAAAAACTTAATTATTTCAGTTTCAAGATTGACATTAAGGCATTGGCACAATGAACAGTACTCAGCGAGTGTATACAAATGTACTGAACCGATGTCACAAGAAGAAATATATTTTACCGATGTGGCAAAAAACATCCAAATTCTTCGTGTACCCTTAATTCACCTAAGCGATGTCGTTTCAAACTGTATATGTTCCTTTGTAATGATGTACAATATACATGTAGTTGCTTTACAGTCATGCAGTAATCTCTATGCTTTTATTTTATTTCATTGTGTTGTATTCCATTTTGTCACGTATTGTATTTGTACATGTTTGTATAGTCTTTTGTAGTCATGCAGTAATCCCGCATGTTTTTATTTTTTATTTTGATGTGTTGTATTGTATTGTATTTGTATTGCCATTGTATTTGTACACGTGTGTATAATGTAGTGTTTGCAGGGCCCCAATGGAAACCAGTAGGCTGTTTGGGCATACCCTGAGTAAAGACATAACTGCAATAAATAAACAGTAACTGTTTAACATGGTGTTAAAAAAAATCGGGAAAATTTACATTTCTGCAACAGCTGCACCGAGTTGAATAGCTGCAAAGGCATCAAGCAACTTTACAGTGCCACTCGAACAGAAGAAAGTCATTACAAACCAAAATATAATTCAAAAAATAGTAAGAATACAATTAATACACCCCCAAAAATAGACAAATGTCACGACCACCTCAATAGCTTGAGTAAGATAGTATGCGCCAAAATTAAGTTTACAGGAATCCTAAATCTGGTGTGGGATTTCCGACAAAATTTCCGAGAGTTGAGCGGAGGAAGAGTAATTTCACAGAATCGAGACTGACACCGCTTTCTTTCGTTTGTTTCTGTTGCAACTTCTTTAGGCTTATTTTAGTTTCTATTGGGAAAAAAAGGCACTGAAGCGGGAGAGTTTAATTGTTGGAATGCTACACCCTCTCCGATTTGAAGTAAAAGTTCCTGCAAAACAAAACAAAACAATACAAAGCAGAAATGATTACCCGCCACCGACCTCTGTTGTTGGGACAGAACCATTTCTGAATATAGACCCATCGCACGCTGCGCCATCACTGATGGTATGTTTTGTCATTCAAATAAGGAACAAAGACCTATCCACTGCTGTGTCGTCATATGCAAGGGGTCTAAGCTTGTGCACAGGGAAGCTTAGACCTTTTGCATCTGACGTAACAGCTGTGTATACCCTTTGCTTGCCCACCGCCCCGTATAGGGCGTTGCTGATGTCACATTGTGATTGCACTATCGTGACTTGGCAACGCATTCGTTCAAAGGCACCAACTTGAAGCCGGAGGTTTCCACCAGGTAGTCCATCATGAAGACAGAGTTCATGTAGGTGTCTGGTAAGTCTGTGTCTAGGGTAAGGACGCCCCCTTCGTTCTTGATGAGCGCGTCGTGGATCCGTCGCAGGGCTTTGGGCACGCGCTCTACGTCTCGGTATTTGTAGTAGTTGTCCACCGTAAGTTGCCCCACTGAGCCTGAAGGGAAAAAACACATAGAAGAGTCAAAGATGGACAACAAGGAAGAGGTGCATCCAATCCGAGATGAGTAAACAAACAGACTTATTAAATTTACTAAGATATTATGATATCAACAAGATCATCTCAGAGGTAAACCAATAACTTGATGTCTCGCATTCAGCAATAGACCGACTACAGCCATCTTTGAAATGTGTGCTTTTGTTCAACAGAGATAGGCATCAGTAGATCTCCTGTGCATTTATTGTCAATAAATTAACTTGACAAAACACACCTCGAAGATGGAGGCTGATTGCAATCGGTCTGTATTGCTGTTAGATTATGTTGGATTTGGTTTTAGTCATTCGAAAATATATGTTACCCGAATTTGGAAATTATCGAGTCAAGCCTTGTAGAACAGATCTGGACTTTACAGACACAAAACTCGTTTGGTAAATTAACCAATGAGATTCCATTGGACTCTTTAATTTACCATTTTTAGCAGGAAATTCTACGACGGGCTTAATAATCCTCAGCCCTCTTGCAGCAGCTTCTGCCTTGATTGTGGGAATAATATCCCTCACCACCGACGGCAGATAGTAAGAAGTCGTGATCCCAATCTCCTCCAGACGCAAGATGCTACTGATCAGACCCATACGGACCCAGTGACCGGGCATCAACTCCAAGTGACCCGGAGGATTGTAGCCGTCCTCCCGTATGGCGATGTTGAAGTGCTGGGCCCAGGACTTGACCGTCTCGGGGAAGACCTGCACGAAGTCGCCATAGACAAACAGCGTGGTGGGAACCAGGGGTTTGTGGGCCACTAGAGTGGCCACCACCCGGTGTGCACGCTTGAAGTTCATGCCGATTGCGACAGTGAGGGCCACTGAGCCGCTCTCACAACTCGAGTAGATCTCGCCAGGTTTACCAGGGGTGTCCGATGGAACCTAAAACAGGATGATTGCAAAACAAGACAAGCAAAAATCATGCACTAATATAATACTGTTTCAGATCAAGAATAACAAATAGTACTAGACCAGGCTTGGAAAGTTGTTTTAGTCATCATTCAGTCATTGCCTATAATATTAAAGCGGTTACTTCGAACAAGACTAGACACGTCTAGTATATAGCAGCTGGTCTAGGAAGCGGTCCGAGTCAAACTTTGGGCCAAGGCGAGAAAAGCAAGTGAACTTCCCATTGGGATGCCATGGTCTCGTGGTCTGGAGCACTGAATTCGTACTCCGCGGGTAATTCGAGTCCAGCCTGCGGCTATGGTGCGTGTGCCCTTGGGCAAAGGTACTTTGTCACTCGTTGCTTCTCTCCACCCAGGAGTAACTGCATGGGTACCTGCGAGGGCAGAGATGGTTATTGTGGTTGATTTAAGCCGCGTTGCGCCGAAATGACAGCATCGAGTTGTACACTCCCCAGGGAGCTGAGATGGTGTTTGGAATGTTTCATTGGCCCAATGAGCAGGGTAATAATGATGCTGTGCATTGAGCACCAATAATGGTGGATACGTGCGCTTTGTATATACCCATTATTATTATTATTAGTGAATCAATGAGATTAGTAAAAAGAGGACACTATAGGCTGGCGCCCTCTGGGAACAGCAACAGAAGCCTCTTAGTCTTACCTTGATGGGGTTCATTTTATCGATATCACTGTATGTTCGTTTCTCCCCCACCCAGTCAACCATTGTAAAGCCTGCCTTCTTGATATCCGCGCGTATCTTATTTTGGCCTTCCTTGGTCCAGCCTGTTGGTTGACCATCATGGTATTCACCGTAGTATCTGTCAAACCAAAATAAATGTTGCTTTATATTTGAGACCAGTACCTTCAACGGTTGGTCCATCCGCACACAGTGGATTCTTATAGCTGCGCAAGCCATAGAGGGACATTGAAGTGTTATATTGGAGGGTACAATGTATACCAGTGTTGCATGCAGACAATACCTAGGAAACAATTTGCTGAACGTTTAGGGTCAAGTTTAATACTTGGTCAAGTTTGCAGGTGCAGGTATTCTAAGGTAAAGACTTGAAGAGGATTTGGCTAAACAAAACATGATCACAAACGAATATTGTGCCTATGTGCATCCTCTTATAATACTAAGTGCCCAATTTTAAACACGGCTTCCAAACACCTATTCAGTTTTAAAACTTGATTTCAAAAAAGAATTACAGACGACGAAATGTGTTCAATTTATTATTACTTGTCGATGTAGGCAAATGCTTTGTCGTCTATCATCTTCCGGAGGATGTCGAACTCAGCGCCCTCAACGTCTAGTTTTAGAATGACGTAGTCGTCCACTGAAAAGTTGTCTATGATCCATTTTGAAAGGTCAACGACCGGAATAGTCTTTCGATAGGACAGCTTTCGAAAACCACCTGCGAGAAACAAATGTGTATATTTATCATTTGTGTGTGTCTAAGTTTCATGGTTTCTAAAAAAAAAACTGAAGTGTTGAACACTTACATGAGATCGGTCAGTGACCACACTAGTGTAACTAATAAATCTAACACTTAAACTGTTAATTCAACATTTTAAATATTGATCGTGTTGATGCAGCACTTGCAATGGGTTAACTTTGTAAAATGTTGAATTTACACTTACATTGTTGAATTAACAGTAAGTGTTGGATTTAAAATTTTAAGTGTTGGGCTCAATATTTAAAATGCTGTATTCACCACGTACTTTCAAAGTGTGGTAATTACTTTCTTTTGAACAAAGAACTTGTACCCAAGACTAACGTTAATTTGAGATAATCATACGCACCTGTTACATTGTCTTTCAGTTCCTTTTGGGATACGAACAGTGAGCCTCCTCCCCACTGCATGTCTCTGCCGTGATTCTTGCCCTTGTTGGGTCCCCAAACCATCTCCGAAAAAGCTGTCATGTTGCCTGAAATAGGAATTAGGGAACGGTGAGTATAATAGCTGCAAACTTGCAAATACAAAACCACATGCAGTATCAACTCGATTCTCTGCGATCCCAAGGCATATTACTAGAACCGTGGTGAAATTTAAGCCACGGTGAAAATTGTAAAAGCCATAGTCAAAAGGAACGCATCATTGGGAGCTGTTGGAGGACGATGTGTCCCACTTAACAGAAACTACACATTTAAGATGATTTTCTGTTCAGAAACATGCAAAAACTTACAATGATTCTGCTGTTTTTTGGATTGTTTGTGATTGTGGAAAACAAAGTGTGTTCAGTGATGCACAGATTGACTGTTGTCCTCCATTTTCACCCCCCCCCCTCGGTCGTTCGAAAATACAAAAAAAATAGGATGATTCTTTACTGTTAAGGATTAACAGACAGTAACACACCCGTTTTCACTGACGATCCAGAATTAATTAAGAAGCTCTTGCAAAGCACAACCCTTGTGTGCCTACACTACCAAAAAAGTCGAATATGTAAGAAAATAAATTACAAGGAATCTCATGTACAAGAACAGTCTCCTCCGTTTCATGTGTAAACTACTGTTTTTTTTTTACGTTATCCAAACTTTACGTACCATCCTTGCCCGCTACGCCAACGGGGCAGTGCAGATGATGTTTGTCGTACGGGCTGAAGTACGGCGATAGCCGGTCGTCAATTTCGAAAGAGTGGATGGTGAAATCTCTTCCCCCGGGGTAGGTCTCTCTGAACAGCAGGACCGTGGAGGCCACGTTAGCACCGCAGTCCAGCAGGATTTTCCGGGGTGAAGACCGGTCGGTCTCTTGCCTGTCCTTAGCCTTGTCTGCAGGCCTAGTGTAGGAGTTAATGTGCGATAGCTCCAGATTGTTCGAAACGATAGGCCTACTGCAAATCCAAATCAGATGAAAACCAAGTAAAAAAAAATATATGCAAGTGAGACTTGCGCAATCCCCCTGGCATGCTGACAGTTTTTATAAAGTCTGTGTCCCTAACCAAAATAGAAGATTTTGTATTGTTTAAGCAATAGTGACCTTGACCTTTGACATGTGGGTCCCAAAATCAAAAGGCTTGGTAAGACTACCAAGAGAAACCCACAAACCAAATTTGAAGTTCCTAATTAGTAAAGTATTTCTCAAGCATTCGTACCGACAATATTTCTATAGTATTATTATTATTATTATACTTATACGTGTAAAGGTATCACGAAGGAGACACGTAATTTCTTCCACGATGGGAGACATCGCGGCGGTCATTAGGGAGACATTTTCATGTCTCCCTAATGTCACAGCCCCCCTTTAGAGGCACAATTTTATTGTCACAATTCGGTTATATTTGTTGCTCGTGGTCTAATTAGTGAACATACCGAAATTCGTGGAAAAAGGAAAAGGGAATATTGGGTTCGGGCAAATTTAAGTTTGAAAAATTGTGTGCACAAGTCTATGGGGATGTTTTCCAAATGTCCAATCCAGGGTTATGTTAATGTTGATGTTGATGTTGATAGTGATTATGATTATGATTATTATTATTGTATTAAAAATTTTCAAACTTAAATGTGCCCTAACTAACCCAATAGGCCTATTCCGTTGTCCTTTTCCCACAAATTTCGGTATGTTTACTAATTAGACAACGAGCAACAAATATAACCTAATTGCGACAATAAAATTGTGCCTCTAACGGGGGCTGTGACATTAGGGAGACATGAAAATGTCTCCCTAATGACCGATGTCTCCCATCGTGCAAAGAAATTACGATAACGTGTCTCCTGAGTCCTAAGTGGTACCTTTACACGTATAATAATACTAATAATATAGCCAATGCGTACTCACCTGACCGACTTCAGCGTGCTCTTCTTGATCTCGTGTGTATAGAGGTTAAGCCAACCGCCCAACAAAATGGACGGCACTAGACCGAGAAAGAAACCCATGGCAAGTCCGACGAACGTCGAAGGGTGTGCCAATCGCATCTTGAAACTCTGAGGGGAAAGAGAGAAGAAATGGGGTTAATCCAACTTCGTTCCCAGGCCTTACTTTAATTCCAACCTTGTTTCCAACATAGTAAGCCCTGGATAGGAAACTTTTTCCTGTATCCTGATTCGATACCGCAATTACCAATAACTGGATAAACATAGGCGTAGCCAGGGGGGAGGGGGGGGGGGAGGGTATTTACCCCCCCCCCCAATATTTTGTAAAGACTGCCTTTTTCCATTTAAATGCCCTTTTTTCAACGGGCTTACCCCCCCCCCCAATAATTTGTTAAGAGTGCCCTTTTTTACACGAAGTGCCCTTTTTTCTGAACAAGTGCCCTTTTCAAAAAAGAAGTGGTGCCCTTTTTTTGTGACATATGCCGTTTTCGGTGCCTTTTTCAGAATTTCGCACATGTATCGCCCTGAAAAGCAACATATATTGACCCTTTTGTGCGCATAATTGTCGGTTTTGAACAGCGCCCCCATCGACAGATGGTACCAGCACTTGAGTGGGGTTCTATTCCGAACTAATGCTTTTTAATGACATCTCGGTTGATATTTACGTTGATTCACTGACTTTCCTTTCGGGAAAATATTTATTAAATAAAAGGGCCAAACTAAGGTTGCACTTTTAATATTATGATTCGTGATTGGTTTGGTTTGTTTGTGTTACAGAATGTGGATGTCTCAGTGGTTAATTGCAGCCAAAAGTTTTTACAGAGCACCATTCGTCTACATAATTGCATGAGGTTTTGAAAAGTTTCGTTGAAAGGAAAGTGATCGATTCCTGGAGCATGAATGTAAGCAATTTTTTGAACATAAAGGTTATTATTTAACCTTTCATACTTTTGCTGCTTAATATTTTGGTTTTATACTGCCCGGCTCAGATCAAAAAGAGCATTGCGTCTGTTCTTCGTTTTTACGTCTTCGTCACAACGTATTCAACAAGTTTCTATGCACCCCGTATATATTGGAATTCATTATCTAATTTCCTTCACTATAACAGCGTTTTAATTTGTAAGAGCTTATTAATCTCTAATAACAATAATATTAATATAAAAAACAACAGATTGCAACGAACCACCATACGACTTAACGTGAAGAGGTCCGCACGCGCGCATGCGCATATGATATAAGTCACTATCAGCCACAGAGAAATCGAAATTGTTCGTTTCACGAAGTGACCTATCTGGATAGGTCGCCGTTCGCGCGCATGAAAAATGAAAATTAAATTTTCACGCCGAGTGACCTATCTAGATAGGTCGCCGTTCGCGAGCATGAAATATGAAAATAAAATTTTCACGAAGTGACATGGATTTGACGCCTAGTTTTCACCTGGTAATGATGAGTTTTTGCCTTAGAAACAATTTCAAATCATAATCCAACTATCCAACTTTATTATATGTAAAAAACCGCGTTTTTCTCAAAATGGCAAAAACTGAGATAGGTCATATCTCCTTCGTTTTGTTCGTTTCTAGTTTTGCCGCGGCTAAGCGCGGCGCTTCGAAAGTGTAGCACAAACCAAGCCCGCGGGCACGGGGGTGCTGTGGGTGCTGCAGCACCCCCAACTTTTTGGATTGGGGTGCTGGAATATACTTCAGCACCCCCCTACTCCAGGGCAAAAATGTGTTCCAGCCAGCAGTGTTCTACGACGATGAAATTGCGCCGCTACGCTATACATCATGCTTGCTCTACAAATATCTCCTTCGTTTTGTTTGTTTCTAGTTTTGCTGCGGCTAAGCGCGGCGCTTGGAACGTCGTGCACGGACACTGTAAAATATCAAGAGGAGGTATTTTCTAAATCTTCAGCTCAGGCAGTGCAGAATCGATATTTCTCTCAAGGTATCTAAAATCATGACATGTCTATATTTCCGCCATGATGGAAGTTTGCCCCGAAAGCAATAACCTCGGCCATGACAATGGTGGCAAAGTTGATTATGCTTGCCAGGATTTTTTTCATTCGATCTTTCAATAGGGGCAAATATTCATACCTTTCCCCTGAAGGTTTTTTTTTCATTTAAAAGTTTCATTGGCGTTGCTAGCATTTTGTACTCAACACTGACAAATAGCAAGGTTCACACACATCCCCAACCTACGGAGTGGGACGGGCATTCATTGAAACTAGTCATGCATTACGCCGATTCCAGTGTAGTTTCGTTTCAATAAAAAAGCTGTTCATGTTTTACCCTCTGCAAGTTTTTCCTCATAAAAACTCAGTAGACCGATAAATCCTTGCCTAGCTCCAAACTTGCCGTTTCGCACATGTATCGCCCTGAAAAGCACCATATATTGACCCTTTGTGCGCATAATTGTCGGTTTTGAACAGCGCCCCCATCGACAGATGGTAACAGCATTTATATGAACAGTATTTATGAACAGAAATTCATCCGCTTCCAGTGGAACCATTTGTTTTAACTTGAAACAAAAACATCCTTTCGGGTTTTATAAGTTTCAGTATACTTCAGTATATTTCATCACAGTGCATCCAGAATCCAACATTTTCCGGGGCCTTAAAGCGGGCCCCTGGCACTGTGGCCCCACGCTGTAAGGGCTCAGAAAATCAAACAAAACATGCACGAAGGTAATTACTAAATGTAAGAAAGCTGCCTTGCAACAATAAAATTTACATGCGATGTCATGCATAATGATACAATTCTTTTTCTAGAATTAAATGGAACCAAATATGGACATAAACATACAGGGTTCTCCACTTTTCAGAACAGTTCAACGTTTTAAGAGCAACAGTATATTCTAAACAAAATAATGAAATAAATTGTCTTTATAATCTCAAAACACTTTTGCTAAAAAAGTCAAATGAAAGTGGCCAGGAAGCGCCTCAGATTGCACCACAGAGCATCCATATTCCAAATTAAGCCACGACGTAAGGGCTTTGCGAAATTCCAGCACCCCCTGGCAAAAGTTTGTTCCAGCGGCAGTGGCACAAACACTGTAAAATATCAAGAGGAGGTATTTTCTAAATCTTCAGGCAGTGCAGAATCGATATTTCCCTCAAGGTATCCAAAATTATGAAATGTCTTTGATATTTAGGCCATTATGGTAGCTTTGACCCTGAAGCAATAACCTCGGCCATGACGATGGTGCCAAAGTTGTTTATGCTTGCCAGGATTTTTTCATTCGATCTTTTAATAGAGGCAAATGTTCATACCTTTCCCCTGAAGGTTTTTCTTTTCATTTAAAAGTTTCATTGACATTGCTAGCATTCTGTACTCAAGATTAACAAATAGCAAAGTTCAAACACATCCCCAACCTAATAGGAGTGGGACCGGTTTTCATTGAACTTTTTACGGAATTTTAAACACAACCACCGTGTTAAAGTTCTGTCCACGGATCACAAAAAGGTAAGTGTTCTTTCAGCAAAACGAAAACAAATCACATGTTGTGTGTGAATTGTTTTTGTTTTGCTGAAAGAACGCACACCTTTTATTGTGATCCATGGACAGAACTTTAAAACGGTGGTTGTGTTTAAAATTCCATAACTTGAAAAGTACAACAGTGATTTGAATGATTCTTGTACTAAAAGAAAGCTCATGAATTGGGCGTTCAATCCTAGATTTTGAAATTACTACATGCAGAACTTCACTAAAACAATATCCCAACATATGGGTTTCGTTTTTTTAGTCACCCTGTATTACCGAGGTCAACGTGTATGCGATATTATAATAATGGCGTCATCGATGCACGATCCTCCGAGTTCATTATGAGGCACCATGTCGCCGTGCCACATACACAAGGCGAAAACACAATACAGATCGATTCCAGGGGGCAATTAACCGTCTTCCAATACTGTGCCCGTTTTGTCGGTGCATCTCAGTCAGGCAGATTGGTGAACAATGTGATGGAATTGTTCATTTGATGATAAAAACATAACATTTGGCGCGCGGTCAGAGTATGTCATGGAAAAGATATTTGTCTATAGGGCCATCGCAGCTTTGTCCTTTAAAAAAAATCATAGAATTACATGCACTTTTGTGGCAAGAAATTTTGAAAATGTCTTGTTATCCTATAATATTTGTTTCAAAGGACCAATCTGCGTTGGCCCTATAGCCAAATATGTTTTCGAATACATAGCCTACTCCGACTGTGTGCCAAATTTCATGCCTTTATAGTCAAACTGAACAATCTTATCACCAATCTGCTGTAGGCCCTTCTACTGAGTAAACATACAACGACAAAGGCCACTATACATGTATAGCGGTTCTGGTACAAAGGTCAGACCGTCGACCGGTCGGGAATTCAAGGATCATTTGCATAGGTCCCAAAAGTAACCCAGCGAATTACTACCATAAAACGTTCTAAGTTAAAAATCGTACTCGTTTAGGTTTTCCCGGCTATTTTAAAACATTTGTCATTCAAATTCATCAACAACAACATTCAATTTCGTCCGCGAAAAATTTCGCACGCGATCGATAAACGTTTTAAAAACAGCCAAGAAAACCTATTCTAAACACCACATGCGATTCATCTGGCTTGCTGTTATACAGAAGATGAGTCTTCAATAGTTTCTTAAAATCATCTAAAGAAGTTTCACTCTTACTCCTCTCACTCCACCATGCAAAGCCTAAAATCGTTTAAGTTTCACTCTGACTTGCAAATACATGCACAGTTTCGAAATTGTGAATCTCTTGCCGGATTCACGCTTGCAAATACATTGTTTACAGAATACATTGTTTACAGAACATGCTTGTTCGCTAAACCCAAAGCAAGCGAAAATTCCGTTTTGGTTGGTGAAAAGGCGAACCTACTACTGTACATGTAGTACAGTTTTACTGTGGGCCATCCACGATGTAAGAGATGTAAGCGGGGTTTTCTTTGCTATCTTAATCTATTGGCTAAGCAGATAGGCCTATACTGTGCATAATACTGTGTATACCTATTTTTTTATTATCGTTATAAAGGCCGCCATAACATCCAAATTTTTCCTCCGCTTAATAATTTGGTTTCAGAGAATCTTTAAAAGAATTAATCGTGTGCTGGAGGAGCAATGGTGATTGTTGTGGTGTTGTTTGTTTATAATTACATGTACATGTACATTTGAAATGTGCACACTCGGATGCAAGTTGGTTCCTCCATGGTTCTTACAAAATCTTCGCCCAAAATGGAGTCCGTTTACGTACTCTGCAGTGCATGTACAGAACAACGGACATGACTATACAGATGGCTCTTTGACTATATGTACTCCCAAGTAGTCTAGGCATATACAGCTTTTTCCCCTCAATGATTCTATATCGACGAGGAAGCACTATTACATTTGTAATTGCAGAATACTCCGCCAGTTACAAATACATGTACACATGTACACCCCTACAAAAAACCTTAATCATCTGGTTTCACATTTGGAATCGCTTTAATAAAAGTCAAGCCCATTTGCCGGCTACGTGGCGGCTACGGAGTGGAAGTCCCTTGAAATAAAGCAATGTATAGCACCGGGCAATGGTTTGCATGGTGGACACGATCAATAAATGGGAGGTTTGCGGTAACACCCATGTGAATGATAAATATTTCTAGTGAGTTGCGTGGTTCTGTTAAGGAGAATACACGAGAAAATATGGATTCGTAATTTAAGAATTCACTCGGCGCTAGCGCTTCGCGCCTCGTGAATTCTTAAATTTCGTATCCACACTTTCTCGTGTATTCTCCGACTTAAACCATTGCGTCCAAAAGAAGTATTGGCATTAACAGTGAGTGGAGATGAAAAGACTTGGGGAAAATGTTGCAACCTGACGCCACTTCCGCGATCGTGTACACAGTCTATGGAGAGTCAAGACAATTTTTAAAGTATTTCCAAACACAATTGGAAATATTTCTCAGTCCCAGATTCATGTCTTATCATCATATTTGCAATGAATGACCTTCATTGAGATGATATATGAAGAAAAAATGGCGTCAGGTGGCAACATTTTCCCCGGCTCCTTCCGTCGACATACGGTTCAGACGACAGTGAAGATGCATTGGTAATTTTGGAAGCAAAGTTTTCATGCATACGGTACCATTAATGCTCATTATGGAGAACAATTGTCCTACGTGTTCAAAGTGTGGATTCGTATAAAATTCCGAATCCACACTTTACTAAAAAAGATTCTTCGTCACGAATCCACACTTTGTGACCAGCGTAACAGATTCGTAGTTCCGAATCCACACTTGTGATGTCATAGCAATGGTTTAAGAGAATTGAACCAGTTGGTTTAACTAGACGTTTCGAACACTCATGCTCTCAGTTCGTCAACAAATAAACTCACCAATTTATTATTCCGCTGCGAAAAAAGTCTCAATCATGAACCACGTCCTGGTTATTATCCTTCCCATGCAAATATTTCCTCATTAATTGCGCTTGACGAGATCGAACTTGATCCTCACACTGTGCCTCTCAGCTCTAGCAATGGCGAATTGAGAGGGCGTATACACAGCTAGCCGACCATGTTAATGTGTTCAAAACGCAGTGGTTCAAAATGCACTGCAGTGGTGCGCCATTTGACAAAGGATTGTGCAACAAGCATGAAACTTTGCATGTCAGTTGTTAATGTTATATTATTATTGAGTGGTCGGGCACAACCCGACCTACGGCGCTCCATGAGTGCCATCCACTTCTTTTATTTACTCAGATAATTTATCACGTCATGCTGACATATCGCCGAGAGTAAGGCGACTTTTAATCACATAATTGTATCTCTAAGTCGACTTACCGAAGTCGACTTGACGACTTGTCCAGAAGTATTATCTCGCCAAGTCGACTTACCGAAGTCGACTTGGTGACTTGTCCAGATGCATTATCTCTTCAAGTCGACTTCCTTTTCAGATGTATTATTTCGTCAAGTCGACTTTCCGAAGTCGAGATGACGACTTGTCCAGATGAAATATCTCGCTAAGTCGACTCCCTAAAGTCGAGATGACAACTTGTCGAGATAAATTATCTCGCCAAGTCGACTTACGATGTGGAGATGATGACATGCAAATATCTCGTTTTGTATGGATATCCCGTTGTTGAAGCACTGTCGTGGATTCTTTCTTGTTCGTCGGTGCATTTGAGGTTTTCCCCACCCGTTCTTATATGAACAATAAACTGCAGCCTCGACTCCAGGGGCGCGTGCTCGTTCCTTACACTAACCCCTGGCTGTGATGATGACGTAAATGACGCTGAATGGCTATTCACAGCGTACTGCGCGGGCATTTCGAAGATTGCACGCCGGGCGCGCGCCCATAATGCGCTCGCGCTCGCGTGCTTAGCTTTGCACGTAACGTCACGTACGAAAAAAAAAATTATGATTCAAAAGTCACGATGCCTGTACGATATGGATTATGTCAGCCGCGTTTTTCGCTAAAAAAAACCCTGTATATGTGGTTATAAAGGCACGAAAGGGGTACGTACATTTAATAGAAATCTTTGCTAATAATACAACGTCCAAACGTTGTGTTTGAAAGGATCGATTCTTCAAAATCACAACTTTTAACATTTTAAAGATGGCGTCGGCACGTAAAACGGATAAACTGCAGCCCTAATATAATGTACCGTATTTTGGCACATTTAAATTACACAATTCCAGGGGTTACGATCGCGCAAGGCATGATGGGAAACAACATGGCGCTGCAAGATCGTACCCACGGGGCACGAGGTTGAATAAACTGGACTTGAAATCAAGTCTGTAATGAGTGGTTTTAATCGCGTCCGCCGCGCGCGACTGCCAAGCTCTGTGCCGGGGGTACGACGTACCGCATGCTGTCCTAGTAGCGGGGACGCTACGTACATTTTCGACCCCATGCGTGTGCGATCCCAGACACAGACTGACCATGCCGCGCGGTAGTACATGACTTTTGCATGAATGGTTGTAGGGCTCACGTTGCATGAACGGCGGTGGCATGGTATGCGGATTCTGGCGCTGATGACGGACAAAAACCACTATAGTCTAACGACTTGTCATCAAGTCTAACAATAAACTGGCAGAGGAACAAGAGATAACCTGTAGGGTATTGATTTGATCTGGGTCGAAGTTGATTTGTGTTTTTTTATTTTCAACTTGTTTTAAATTACTCCCCCAAGCTTCGTAGAAAATCACACATCTGCCTTGTTTTCCCCTATTTATCCCGTTGAAAAGTAATTTACTTCACGTTAAACATTAACAATCATCAATTAACAAAAATGTCCTCTCAAGTATGGTACGAGCCACCCCCCCCCCCCCCTATTGATTTTAAGGGGCCAAGTGTCCGGACAAAAACCTGTCTACATTTCAGCATTGATTTGCTGATGACCCATCCCCCCCCCCACACACACAAAATTTCCTGGTTCCGCCCCCAATTATTGTTGTGCATATACGGCGATTATTATCGTCTACAAGGTGATTCAAAATGCTATCAAATTTGATACCCAAATTTGATACAACGAAGTATGTCTAATAAGAGCATGTTCTTCCACTCATCTGAAAAAAGCAGTTACTGATATTGATCTATGTTAACAGAAGTTATGCATGTTTTACTTAAAGAAACCATTTTTATAGCTGTCCTTGGAGTGCCATTGAGCGTAGTGATAATACACACAAGCATTCATTAAAATGAGATATTAATAATTGAAATCAAGACCATTGTTTTTACTGTCAGTTGTAATGGTTTGCATATGAGGAACGAGTCAACTCTTTTTCTTCTGAAATGTTGTTAGCGATATGAAAATCCTCTGCAAGTTCTCGTTCATTCATTGAGGTGGAAAAACGTCCATGTTTCATAATACTCAATGTGTATTAACCAGTTCGTAGAATCAGCGGTGGACAGCTCCGAACTAAATCAGTATTCACTTCCCGTTTTTGACTAATGACGTTATCAAGCCAGAAATAACTTGTATGTGTACATAGAATATTTGTGAAATTTATCACACCGTTAAAGATGCATTTTTTAAACAAAATAATTGATAGTCCTGGAAAGGACTGAATTTTGTGATCCTTAGTTGGTTCTTTCATAAAAATATTCAGAACTTAACTGGACTGTGTTTCATAAAATACTTGTCTACCCGACCATTCTGCGTTTGTAACAACGAACGCGCATCTCTAGTTATTCATCATTTCTGGTAATGAAACCAATGATTCCTCAAAAGCGCCCTAGGTACTGTAGCTCGCAAGCCTGAAGAAACCTGTGGAGAGAAGACAATGAGAAGAAATTACAGTTTTAGAGGTGGGAGGAAAAGCCCAGAAGAATATTCTGAGGAAAACCCACGGAATCAGGTAGGGACTGAAAACCGAATCCACATATTGGCCCAGGCGGGATTCGAACCTGGGTAACAGCGGTTCATGCCATGAAGACAATTTAAATGGAGGCATTTCATGTTTGACCTCTGGTGACATTTGAGAGGTCAATGAACTTTACATATTCTATTCATAACTTTTGTTCTTCAAAGCTTCACTTTCCTGTGACCCAAGTCGATGTCATAGGTCTTCATACAGTGAAAATAATGATCAGATGTAGAAACAATTCATATCTGACCTCTGGTGACCTTTGAGAGGGTCGATGACCTTTTGTAAACCTAGCTTTTTGTAAGATTTATTCTTTAAATCCCATTTTTTTCACGATTCGTGTCTAAATAAAATGATTCCATGCAACAAAGAGAATTTTCATAAATAGGCCATTTCATATTCAACCTCTGGTAACGAGATATAATAATTTATGAAGAACACGACAATGATGACATCTACTTAGATCTGAACTATTGTAATGGTTTATTAAAAGGTCTTCATAAAATTTAGGTTCGGTATTCGGTCATGGCCTAGCACACAATCGTACATGTAGGTTACTAGTCTTGTAAGATTGCATTGCATGGTGTTCATACAAACCGCTTCGTTTACCATTAGTTGACGTGGCTGTATACCTAAATACCAGCTGAAACATTTCAATAATAAAAATAGAAAAGACTTGTTTTGCGTGATTCTCAATTCCATCCCTTGTATATGGTGGCTGAAAATATTTCCCCCGCATTTGAGGCAGAATAATTCTAACTGTTTGTTAACATTTTTTACTTAGTGTTTCTTGTTTGTCTATTTGGCGAGAGGTATAAAATATCATTCTCCAAGGTAGGGTTCTATACAACCTCGTCCCCAGTGCTTACTTTATTTCCAACCTCGTTTCCAATAGTAAACCCTGGATAGCAAACTTTCTTCCTGTATCCTGTTCGATACCGTACTAGATTGATATCGTGTACTTGGTGTTGATATTTCCAACGTGCATTACGTGTTTTCACGTTCACTGTCCAAACCTTCTTTAAAAACAATCATGTCTTTTTCAAGTAATTCATAATAATATGAAATGTGATACTGCATATTGTCTGGATAAGATTGTTACATTTTAGTTTAAAAAAATTGTGTTTTCGTAACTCACGCCATGCTCACGCCGCAACGATTTGATGCTGTTTTACCCCAGACACCGCATACAAAAACAAGCACTAATGTAACGCATATGCAGGCACCAGACTATTCCTCATTTTCATACGAGTTCACTGAAATCTTGCACAGGCAATGATCCAATACCAGGGTGAGAGAGCAGGTAGTAGTGTGCGCGTACTGCTCGACACCCTGGGAACGCGGTTGGGATCTATAGTTCACAAATGTAATACTTTTGTTCAAAAACTATTTTTTTTTTTTTACTTTTGCATAAAATTATTAAATCGCATACACACAAGCAACCCTGTTTGGTTTTTGGTAAAGCCAAAGTATCAAAAGTTTTGGTAGCACACAACCTTGATTGAAGTCAATAAAGCTCTAATCTTCAATTCAAATTCAATACAGAAAGCGAAATACATGTAGTTAACTATTTTTTAACACATGAATATTAATCTACAGGGGAAAAAAAACATCACTGGAAACAATCCATTTAACATCGATCAATAAATTATACATGTAAATATCTTAACAAAATGGCAAATAATTTCCATTAAATTAAGTGCTAGCATTGAATTTGAATGCACGTCTTTAATTCCATTTCAATTCAACGAACGTTCTATCGTAATCGTTGTCCGTGCATTCGGTTTTGAGAATCATACGGCCAATTACCGTTACCTGTGCATTCATTTACACAAGCATACCTTTTCTAAATTGATTTCAGGTGTAGCTAATTTGATTGACGGTTAATGAAAAAGAAACCCCTATTTGTTTCTGGTGCCCGCCGGTGGCATTAAACTAAAAGTGAAATACACGTAGAATTGTGAATGTTTGAAATCGCCTTCTAAAAGCGAAAAAAGAAGTCTTGTAAACGAATCTGAATGGACATACACAAAAGGTGTTGCTCAATCACTTAATTGATTGAACTGAAATGGAATCGAATGCTCTGGTAGCGAAAATGAAACGTGTGTTCAGCGGCGATTCTCAAATTCAGACGAAAATGAATAACCGATTTTTAGAAGTGAATGAACATTTTAGGAAATTGGCCGGGAAAACCTAAATAATAATCTTCTTTGGTATATTCCCTGTAGATATACACACAATTACTTCTTTGAAAATACCTGGATGAAAAAAGATGAAAGAAATATGAATACCGTAAAAT